CCATCGAGAAAGGTTTATAATCGGCAGTTATCATAAAACGCAAGGGTTTAAAAGAAAACACATATGTGGTTTTTTGAATTTTGAATACTCATTTTATTAAACTTTTCTAATGCTCAAACATTCCATGACAATATCAACAAAAGAAATCTGATGAAAGGCAGTAGACAACCATTTTTACTACACAATTAAAATAACAATGGGAGCAGTATGTCCACCATTTTATTTTTGTGATACTTAATAAATTTAAACTACTTTTATCCTTTAAATATTGGCAAAAGATAATAAAGATATTATTTGTACAGAAGTCTAAAGAGTAAAAATCAAGGGCAACTGTATTCTATATAACGATATTTTAAAGCAATAATGTAGCAACTATTTATATTTTATATATCATATAAAATTTAGTGTTTTTCGAAAACAGCATTTAATGTGGTGATTATTTTAAAATAATATAAATTTTAATTGTTTTAAACAATCATTTGACAAAAGTAGTCCCAATAAATTACAGGCTGTGGCGTAATATTAACAACGAAATTTATTTGTTGACTACTCATTTGAGAGAATAAAAAAACGTTTCTTTTTTCTTATAGTTATAGCTCGGTCCCATTCTTATTTTAATCAAAGTGCTTCTTACTACACTTGAAATTTTGAAACTGTTTTTTTTAACACTACATTTTCAATCAGTTAAACAATTATTCGAAAGTTAAATTAGCGAAATTATATAAAGCAATATGACATAATATTAAAATTAATTATACTATTTAAAGAAAAAACTGTCAGTATTTTAAAGCCGTATAATATTTAAAAAATATCTATGGTCCAAAAAAGGGTATTTTAACAAACGACTTATAGAAAAAAAAAATTACATTAGATGGCTTAAAAACATTTTGCCGACTAAACTTCTTCTAGATTTTTTTTTTATTTTAACCAGTGGCAGATTACATATTATATTTTATTTTAAACATCTGTGTTATTAATCACATGTTTCACGAACCTAATATTAATTATTAACTTAAATATAAATTTTAACTAAATTTTGACAATATTTCAGAAATATTATGCACCAATTACATTTTCCTATTTAAAACTAATTAATAAATATTGTGAAATAAATATGTCCTGTAAATTTTTACAAAAATAAATATTTGCATGTTTCAACAACATAGTAGTTAATTAAAATAAAATTTAAAAAATCTTTGTACATAATACTTAATTGAACTATAGCTGTGCCATTGTTAAACATTCACATTGTTATACAAATACATTCATACCGCATACTATAATGCATCATAAACAGAAAAGATATTGTTTGAATCTCGTTTTCGATATTTTTTTTCCTCTACACATTGCAGTGTTTTTTCTCTACTGAGTATAGTAGCGTGCAGTAGTGGAACATAGAACAGTGGAATCAAATATATGATGACTTCATTTAACACAAGACGGAGAGCTGCGTACGAGTGATGCCTAAAAATGCTCAGCTTCTTGACACGCACTCACGAAAACATCTTTCTTCTTTCTTTATTTAACAGCCCGTAAAAGTTTACTGCTGAACGCACACATATGCACTAATATACTAAAAACCATTGCAAATGATTTTAGAAACATATGTGTACGTATGTATGTTCTTGCAATAAATTGAACATGGTTTTAAATTGGTTTTTGCTTCACTTGAAATATACGTAGCGCTTCGTCTTTCTTTCTTTATGTATGCTACTAGACCGCCAATTGAGAACAAAAACTATGCCACAACTCTGGATCGAGGAGCCTCGGGCGGTAGCTGGCACGGCAAACATGCCACGTTCTATTTTCATCTACAACAACTAAGTTTATAGGCATATACGAAATAAAGTTACACACTTATACTTATCTGAAATAAACTTCAAACCACGATGAAAAAGCGAGCACACAAATAGTGACAGTGTTAGATGGTCAAAAACAACGTTCGCGGTTAACAAAACAAAGAGCTAATCTTCTCGCCCGCTCGCAGTCTACTAAAGGAGTCTTCTAAACTGAGGCAAATGTAGGTATACTCAGATGTCTTTGCTTTTTTGGTCAATTGATATATATCAATGTTATAGTGAGGTATTGTCATCGATCACTAATAAAAAACTGGATACACAATCAGTGACAAAAATGTCCTTACCGAAAGAGCGCCCACTCGAACATTTGGGTGCGCTTTTTGTACGTAGCTTTGTGAATACAACTTTAGGCAATGCATTTAAGGTTGAATTTACATTAATGTATACTTATTTCAACTAGAATTACGTCAAAACAATTGGCTACAGTTTTTAGAGAACTTTTGCATGGGATTGTGTATCTAGGTTTTTATTAGTGATTGATGGGTATAGTGGATATAAACATTATTAGAATATAAAGAAAGTTCATGTACATTTCATTCTACATAGATAAATTGAACATATATAATTTAATAAAACAAAACATTGTAAGCAAGGTAGTCTTATAATTATTATATCACAATAGTATTTTAGAGATTCAGCTAAGAGCATAATAAAAAGTAGGTAAAGAAAACATCTCACCATTTAGATGACCAGTTTTTTTTTTTTTAATTTTAATGCAAAAGCATTTTCTAAACTAACAAGTATAGTAACTAAATTAATAAGAAAAATAAGTACCATATGAGCACTTAATTATTAAAATATATCCTGTGAAGATGAAAGTTTCAATCGGGCTAATTGAAAAAGCCATTTCTAAGGTCTTAATGTACAGCGCTGAATGCAACCAATTTATAAAAAAAATATTTAAAATTGTTAATCTTCACGAGAAGCTAAAGAACATTTTTTGTTATTTTCTACATTTTTTAATTTTTATAAGATTTTTAAGAATATAATAGTTAAGGTACAACTTGTCTCGGCAAAAGAAAAAAATCCTAATACGTATCTATACATATATTATAACGCATTTAAACCGAGTTTAAGATTTTTAGATTTTTTTTTAATTTTATAGGTGCATTTTATTCTTAAAATTTCCACACTTTAACTAAAATTTTATAGATAATAGCCGCAAAGTTTCGAATAACCTTTAACAGCCTAGGCTAAAATTGAAGCTTAAAGAACTTTGAACACATATTTTACACGTTATTTTTTCTTTCTGCGTGATTTTTTTGATTTAGATTGCTTGGATGATGGCTGGGTTAAGGTTGAAACCCCTATAACCTTCTTTTCTTCTTTATCACTGTCAGTTGATAGGACTGGTGATGCAACATCATCATCTGAAGACTTTTCCATAATTTCACTTTCAATTACTATTTTTGCCTCGTCATTAATTTGAACTTCTTGAGATGTCATTTTATCTGTTTGTATAATACTGAAACCATTTTCTTTTCTCGCCGGGACATTTTCCATGTCTACCAAATTAAACCTACTAGATTCAGGTTCTTTATAGTTGGTCCCTTTTATTGATGAGAGTATATCATCTATATTGATTTTGCAAAGTGGACTTGTCACTTTAACATCTGCTACTTCAAGCAAGCTATCTTTCATGACTTCAAGTTTAAATTCGTCCAAACCAAATTCTAGATCTTCTAATGGCGGAAGTTCCTGCAGAACGGAATGGTGCTCCTCTACAAAATTTAATTCAGAAGGCGCACCACATTCTGCTACTATAATATCTGTCCTCTTACAAAGCTCTATTAATTTATCTTGCAATGATAATTTGGTAGACTTCTGATTTTCTTCATTTGAAGAAGTTTCGTATTTAGACTGATTATTCTTGTCAGTTGTTTTCTCGCTTGTTGAAATATTCATTTCGGTTTCTTCAAATTTTTTCATACTTTTCGATGCCGCTATCGTACTCCAGGATTTTATTGGTGTCTCAATAATCGGTTGCTCCTGACTTTTCATTCCTATAGTAGGTTGTGGTGATTTTTTACGTGTTTTGTTACCCCTTGTTATTTGAATATCAGGGAAGTCATCATCTATAGTATTAATAACATATACCTGTGCACATTCTAATCCAGATTTTTCTCCTAATTTATGATTAACAATACCCGTAGACTGAGATTTTTGCTTGCTTGACTGTGTCATCGTACTGTTAGTAGATAAATTACCATCCTCCAAAAGAGTACATTCATATGCATGTTTGTTATTTTTTTCTTTTGATACAAATTCTTTTATGCTTTTTTCTTTGAGGACACAACTATAATCGGATAAAGTGTCCAATTCAGGAATTTCTATGTTAGTTTTCTGACTACATTTTGATCTATTTGTTTCTTCTGATTCTTGTATAGCTTCATTGAAATTCTGTTCATAATATTTTTTTTCTTTATTACTGGTTTTCCGTGTACGTGATTTCTTAATTCTCGATACATTCAAAGACGTTGATGGTTCATACTCCTTAGATGAAGTCGAAATAGATACCAATTCGTCAGCATCAGTTTGATGTCTTTCTTCTATATTATGAATTTCTACAAAACTATCATCATCTTCTTTTAAATGACTATCTTCTTGCTCCCGTCGCGATTTTCGACTTCTCCTTGTTTTAACCTTAGTCTCCTCAATTTCTTCCACTAATAAAGCAGAGTTCTCTTGAGAAATTTTTGATTCATTCAGCAGCATATCCCAAGCTTGATCTTCATTTGTAATGATATCTGAAATACATTCCTCAGTTTTAGGATTAGTAAAACCTTTATTTGAGCCAAGTTTTTTCTTCATTGCAACCGAAGGTTCATTCTCAACGTCTATAGTAGGAGCTTGTTTATATGATTTTATGCCATCACTTGTTTTTATTGGATTTTCGTTAATTTTTGTTTGCTCAACTTCGTGAGATTTTGAAACATCCGCTATTTCCTTGATAGAATCTCTTAAATCTTTTTCATTTCCACGCAAGGTGTTGACAGAAATTTGATCAATTTCTTTTGTACCTTTCTCATTTTTATCGGGTTTAAAGTCCTTGCATTGTTCATAATCTTTAGTTTGTGTGTTTTCTTGTACAAGATTGCAGTCTTTAGTAGATCTAATATCTTTATTTCCTTTTTCTTTCTTAGGCTCTTCTGTTAATATTTTTTTTTCATCAATACTTTTTTTATCCTTAAAACTAATGTCACTAGCAGCTTTCTCACTAACTGACAATTTGGTGGGAGACTTCTTACTTCTAACTCGAGCCGTCGATTGAATATCATCCGACAGCCTATTTGATTTTGGCAGTGATTTTTCTTTATCCTCGCAATCCAACTCGACATTTGTCAAGGAACTCACACGTACGTCACGCTTGCACTCAATCTGCTCACCATCGAGATCCATATTTAATTTATTTTTAACTAAATTGACACTATCTACTTTTTGTGGGACATCCCCAGCACTAATATCGACATCGACATAGTTTTTAGCTTTATATTTTGCCATGTCAACAGTTACATTCGTTTCACAATGAGAAAAATTGTTGGAGAGCCAATTCTCGACGTTCAACGCTGCCGGGATAATGACGTCCAAGTTGAGCGGGAGGGCGTCATCGGGCGACAGGTGCGGCAGGGGAGGGACGGTCTGCACGGGGATCGTGGTGGTGCGGGGGAGGGGGCGCAGTACTAGCTCTGGCTGCAGGGGTAGCGAGGCCGGCGCCCGGACGACGGGGCGGAAGGTAGCCTCGTCGGCGTTAGACGTGGTGTAGGCGTCGGGATCGACGGGCGCCGGGGGGGCCTCCTCGGGCGGCACCACCACGGTCCCCAGCGGGTCCACGGCGCGAACTATCCCCGGGCTGCGTCCCACTCGCTCCCGACTCTCCTCCCGCGGCCACCCTATACGAAACCGAAGGCAACCACGTTAATATCTCGCCACGGAGGAGATTTGGAAGGAAGCATTACGTTTGAAAGCCAAGAGAGTTATTATTGTTATGGATGCCTTTGGCTTCGGTATGTGATGATGGCCGTGTGAGCGGACCCAACCTAAGCCGAACGGATTTCGACGGAAGTTCTGCATTCGGTATCGTTTCGCAGTCCATTCCTTCGTTTTGTGTTAATGCTTTCTTCGTCTCCTCCGCTCATGTTACTTCGTTCTTGTGCACTTACACACTTAATGAGTTGTGTGGGTTAAAACGTTTGCAGTGTTATATTTATGCATCAAGAAACATAATTGTTACATTCAATTTGAATGAAAAAAGAATTAATATAATATTATACTCTGACGTAGTATAACTTATATCCTCACTCACTCAAGTAAATGTTATTCATTTATGAAACATTAATAATGAACTGTTTTAATAGCATGCAAATGAATGGACGCAACTAAATAGTGCATAGAAAATTGTACCATATGAAATCCCATGAAAGTTGAATATTGTGTGATGTGATTTTTTACAAAGGACATTATTAAAGACAACATACCATGTTCCTCCTTCATGGCTTCAGCTAGGTCCTCACGTAGCTGCACATCGCAAACGGCGGTCGCCTTCCCAGTCTCTGCTAACAGGGACTTGCGGCGAAAACTATCAGACGGAGAGTGTTCCAACGAACCTACGGAAAGATTATACGTATTACGCACAAGGAATTACTATGATACATTGTTACTTCTCTAAGTCAAATAATCAGCGGGTGTTTATTCTTTAATAATCTGGTATATCTCTTAACGTCAAATCGACATTCTGATGGTGTTATAAAATTGAGAGGAATTAGATAACAAAACCCTCTCAGAAGTGAGAGGTCTGTGGCCAACAGTGGGACATATATATATAGGCTGTAACTTTACTTACTTTTAGATAACAACAAAATTAAGATTAAATATGGTGGACTCGCAATCTCAAATATATTGCAATTTAAAAGAATACGATGGTTTGGGATAACTCTATGGTGGTATAGACGACGGCATTAGTAGTAAGCACAACATTGATTAGAGCGGTAGTAGACTTAGGAGCAGTACAAGGTTGGGGGCGAGAATGTTGAACATTTCTTCAACCAATTGCTCCACCAGTTACTTGATGTTTTAAGGCCTGTTTTTACTTTGATTAGTGCGAGTGCAGGTGATTAGTAATTGCGGGTGAGTAGTATCCAACTCTGTTTAGTAGTTGTGTTTAGTAAAATCAGCTTTAGCCGTTGGAGCAGCAAGTATGACGCGAATATGTAGACCTTGAGTTTCTTATTTTAGTATAAACTTCTTTACTTCCAAACTCCGGTATGTTCATAGCTTCACTTATAAGTAAAAATGATGCATCTCAAGTTCCTTTAATTTTGCAGTTAGGGTGTTTACTATTGTAAACACATTCATGTTTTAGTACCCCTGCAAAAATTTATAAGTTATGTCTTCGGTCCACTGCCATTTTTTGCAACACAAGGATTTTCTTCTTTATCGTGGAGGCGTTGTAAATACATAAATTGCACAAGAACACACGTCCAGACGCGGAAAAATTATTGGTAGTTCATAGAAACACTTGTCCGTGAGGGATTCAAGCCCGCAGCCCTTTAACATCACCTTCCCCCGTGTTACGCACCCGTCAACTTATCCCGCCGTGTTGTGCTCACAACTCGTGACGTCATCTTTATTACGATTTCTATCAGTTATCCATAATTGGTACGAAAATTGGTACGTCTCTCAGTTGTCTTTTAACTTTCACGATAAAACTTTAGGCTTAAATCCTTAATATGTTCGTCATCAGTTCGTAGTCAACTTGACTGAATTTATTAGTGTAGTAAAAGTAGAAGTGTGTAGTAGATGTGTAGTAGTAGTAGTAGTGTAGTAGAAGTGAAATGGAGGATTTAAAGTATTGACCGGGGAAGTACGTTCACGTTCTAACAGAACAGCAACGTGATAATATAGCAACATATGGCTGTATGTAGAGCTAGGAGAGCGGGGCGTGCCCTGAGTGCTGGGGCGAGGGAGATAGGAGAGCGGAGCGTGCACTGAGTGCGGGGCGAGGGAGCTAGGAGAGCCGAGCGCGCACTGAGTGCGGGGCGAGGGAGCTAGGAGAGCGGAGCGTGCACTGAGTGCGGGGCGAGGGAGATAGGAGAGCGGAGCGTGCACTGAGTGCGGGGCGAAGGAGTTAAGAGAGCGTGGTGTGCACTGAGTGCGGGGGCGAGGGAGATAGGAGAGCGGAGCGTGCACTGAGTGCGGGGCGATGGAGCTAGGAGAGCGGAGCGTGCACTGAGTGCGGGGCGAGTGAGCTAGGAGAGCCGGGGCGTGCACTGAGTGCGGGGGCGAGGGAGATAGGAGAGCGGAGCGTGCATTGAGTGCGGGGCGAGGGAGCTAGGAGAGCGGGGCGTGCACTGAGTTCGGTGCTTTGGAGCTAGGAGAGCGGGGCGTGCACTAAGTGCGGGGCGAGGGAGCTAGGAGTGCGGGGCGAGGGAGCTAGGAGTGCGGGGCGAGGGAGATAGTAGAGCGGAGCGTGCACTGAGTGCGGGGCGAGGGAGCTAGGAGAGCGGGGCGTGCACTGAGTGCGGGGCGAGGGAGCTAGGAGAGCGGGGCGTGCACTGAGTTCGGTGCCATGGAGCTAGGAGAGCGGGGCGTGCACTGAGTGCGGGGCGAGGGAGCTAGGAGTGCGGGGCGAGGGAGCTAGGAGAGCGGAGCGTGCACTGAGTGCGGGGCGAGGGAGCTAGGAGAGCTGAGCGTGCACTGAGTGCGGGGCGAGGGAGATAGGAGAGCGGAGCGTGCATTGAGTGCGGGACGAGGGAGCTAGGAGAGCGGGGCGTGCACTGAGTTCGGTGCGATGGAGCTAGGAGAGCGGGGCGTGCACTGAGTGCGGGGCGAGGGAGCTAGAAGTGCGGGGCGAGGGAGCTAGGAGAGCGGGGTGTGCACTGAGTGCGGGGGAGAGGGAGCTAGGAGAGCGGGGCGAAGGAGATAGTAGAGCGGAGCGCGCACTGAGTGCGGGGCGAGGGAGCTAGGAGAGCGGAGCGTGCACTGAGTGCGGGGCGAGAGAAATAGGAGAGCGGAGCGTGCACTGAGTGCGGGGCGAGGGAGCTAGGAGAGCGGGGTGTGCACTGAGTGCGGGGGAGAGGGAGCTAGGAGAGCGGGGCGAAGGAGATAGTAGAGCGGAGCGCGCACTGAGTGCGGGGCGAGGGAGCTATGAGAGCGGAGCGTGCACTGAGTGCGGGGCGACAGAAAAAGGGGAGCGGAGCGTGCACTGAGTGCGGGGCGAGGGAGCTAGGAGAGCGGGGCGTGCACTGAGTGCGGGGGCGAGGGAGCTAGGAGAGCGGGGCGTGCACTAAGTTCGGTGCGATGGAGCTAGGAGAGCGGGGCGTGCACTGAGTGCGGTGCGAGGGAGCTAGGAGTGCGGGGCGAAGGAGATAGTAGAGCGGAGCGCGCACTGAGTGCGGGGCGAGGGAGCTAGGAGAGCGGAGCGTGCACTGAGTGCGGGGCGAGGAGCTAGGAGAGCGGGGCGTGCACTGAGTGCGGGGCGAGGGAGCTAGGAGAGCGGGGCGTGCACTGAGTTCGGTGCGATGGAGCTAGGAGAGCGGGGCGTGCACTGAGTGCGGGGCGAGGGAGCTAGAAGTGCGGGGCGAGGGAGCTAGGAGAGCGGGGTGTGCACTGAGTGCGGGGGAGAGGGAGCTAGGAGAGCGGGGCGAAGGAGATAGTAGAGCGGAGCGCGCACTGAGTGCGGGGCGAGGGAGCTAGGAGAGCGGGGCGAAGGAGATAGTAGAGCGGAGCGCGCACTGAGTGCGGGGCGAGGGAGCTAGGAGAGCGGAGCGTGCACTGAGTGCGGGGCGAGAGAAATAGGAGAGCGGAGCGTGCACTGAGTGCGGGGCGAGGGAGCTAGGAGAGCGGGGTGTGCACTGAGTGCGGGGGCGAGGGAGCTATGAGAGCGGGGCGTGCACTAAGTTCGGTGCGATGGAGCTAGGAGAGCGGGGCGTGCACTGAGTGCGGTGCGAGGGAGCTAGGAGTGCGGGGCGATGGAGATAGTAGAGCGGAGCGCGCACTGAGTGCGGGGCGAGGGAGCTAGGAGAGCGGAACGTGCACTGAGTGCGGGGCGAGGGAGCTTGGAGAGCGGAGCGCTCACTGAGTGCGGGGCGAGGGAGCTAGTAGAGCGGAGCGTGCACTGAGTGCGGGGCGAGGGAGATAGGAGAGCGGAGCGTGCACTGAGTGCGGGGCGAAGGAGTTAAGAGAGCGTGGTGTGCACTGAGTGCGGGGGCGAGGGAGATAGGAGAGCCGAGCGTGCACTGAGTGCGGGGCGAGGGAGCTAGGAGAGCGGAGCGTGCACTGAGTGCGGGGCGAGTGAGCTAGGAGAGCCGGGGCGTGCACTGAGTGCGGTGCGAGGGAGCTAGGAGTGCGGGGCGATGGAGATAGTAGAGCGGAGCGCGCACTGAGTGCGGGGCGAGGGAGCTAGGAGAGCGGAACGTGCACTGAGTGCGGGGCGAGGGAGCTTGGAGAGCGGAGCGCTCACTGAGTGCGGGGCGAGGGAGCTAGTAGAGCGGAGCGTGCACTGAGTGCGGGGCGAGGGAGATAGGAGAGCGGAGCGTGCACTGAGTGCGGGGCGAAGGAGTTAAGAGAGCGTGGTGTGCACTGAGTGCGGGGGCGAGGGAGATAGGAGAGCCGAGCGTGCACTGAGTGCGGGGCGAGGGAGCTAGGAGAGCGGAGCGTGCACTGAGTGCGGGGCGAGTGAGCTAGGAGAGCCGGGGCGTGCACTGAGTGCGGGGGCGAGGGAGATAGGAGAGCGGAGCGTGCATTGAGTGCGGGGCGAGGGAGCTAGGAGAGCGGGGCGTGCACTGAGTTCGGTGCGATGGAGCTAGGAGAGCGGGGCGTGCACTGAGTGCGGGGCGAGGGAGCTAGGAGTGCGGGGCGAGGGAGATAGTAGAGCGGAGCGTGCACTGAGTGCGGGGCGAGGGAGCTAGGAGAGCGGAGCGTGCACTGAGTGCGGGGCGAGGGAGATAGGAGAGCGGAGCGTGCATTGAGTGCGGGACGAGGGAGCTAGGAGAGCGGGGCGTGTACTGAGTTCGGTGCGATGGAGCTAGGAGAGCGGGGCGTGCACTGAGTGCGGGGCGAGGGAGCTAGGAGTGCGGGGCGAGGGAGATAGTAGAGCGGAGCGTGCACTGAGTGCGGGGCGAGGGAGCTAGGAGAGCGGGGCGTGCACTGAGTGCGGGGCGAGGGAGCTAGGAGTGCGGGGCGAGGGAGATAGTAGAGCGGAGCGTGCACTGAGTGCGGGGCGAGGGAGCTAGGAGAGCGGGGCGTGCACTGAGTTCGGTGCGATGGAGCTAGGAGAGCGGGGCGTGCACTAAAAGCGGGGCGAGGGAGCTAGGAGTGCGGGGCGAGGGAGCTAGGAGAGCGGAGCGTGCACTGAGTGCGTGGCGAGGGAGCTAGGAGTGCGGGGCGAGGGAGCTAGGATAGCGGGGCGTGCACTGAGTGCGGGGCGAGGGAGCTAGGAGTGCGGGGCGAGGGAGCTAGGAGAGCGGGGCGTGCACTGAGTGCGGGGCGAGGGAGCTAGGAGTGCGGGGCGAGGGAGCTAGGAGTGCGGGGCGAGGGAGCTAGGAGAGCGGAGCGTGCCCTGAGTGCGGGGGCGAGGGATCTATGAGAGCGGGGCGTGCACTGACTGGCGGAGCCGGAGTCGACGAGCACGGGCACGGCGGCGCGCGCGCCGGGCATGTTGACGGGCGTGGAGCGCGCCGCGCCGCGCCCCGCGCCCGCCTCCACCTCCACCGTCTCCGCCTCCGAAAGCGACGAGCTCGACCTGCGCCAACACCAACTATTTCAAAACTTAAACTACACCTACTGACAACAGAGCTATAACGATCCTCTAGTGAGAATGTCAGCTCTTCTCTTTCATTTTATCTATCATTCCACTACAGCCCATAAAGGTCTATTGCGACATAGACCGCCTTAAAAGGTGGATTTTGCCACGCTTGAACGCACCGCAGTTTTTTTTGTTTTTATTTAGTTATCAGGAACGTAGCCCCATGTCATCTCATCTCATCTATAATTTTGAATCAGGAAGATGCTGCTGCCCATTTCCTGTATCAGTTTCCTTCTGCCGCCTCTTACGACACCCACGGTAATATATGGGGAATAATCTTCAGACCATAAAAAGACATCGGCTTCTCCCGTTGTAAGGACGACCATCCATCTTTACGCTTAGAGAAGGTTGACAATCGTAGTACCAGACGTCTCGTACCGTTGACACTGCTACTCATCATCAACAATATAAATATAAATCACAGCGTCATCTCCACTTGACAATGATATTATTATAAAATAACTAAATAAGGAATAGTATTGCATACCATGCTGAGTAATGTAAACCAATCAAGAGATGTACGCAGCAACGTGCTCGGTAGTAATTTTAAAGTTTTCAAATTATGGTCCTTCGTGCCAGATGACATGAAAGAGAAATAATAGAAGCAGTCGTTAATGTTTTAATAATACATACCCAGTGCAATTGTATGTCTTGAACACAAACTGCGGTCCCATCCAGAGTCTTCTGTGTGGTCCAGCGTGGGTCACGATTTCCACCTGTGAGAGCCATCGTTCTTCTTCACTCATGCACATATCTGCGCATTGCTGTTGATAAAATAGTAATAATAAAGTAAACCACGATATATGTGGTAACACATAAAGGAGAATGTACGAATTTTTTCTACAAATATGTCGACATCACCTACAGCTACACTGCTGACTGACAGACGAGGCTCTGACAATTAATTAATGGTAAAATAACCATCCAAAATGCTGTGAATTGATGTCGCAAGAATATCCACTGCGCCATGACATCTATCAGGAGTAGAGAGGCGACAGATGGAAACTGAAACAGGAGATGAACACTCAACATCATCCTGTTTACAGCAGAAAATAATAAAATATTGCGGTTGCCAACCTGCCCTATGAGGTAATCTATGGGAGAGGCCTATGTGGCTTATGAATCATCCAGAAATACCAAAGCCAAATCCTATAAAGTGGGCTCCTATAGAATGAGCAGCAAGATCAGCAGTAAAAGGGTCTTACGCTTATCAACTTGCTTGCCTAAAGTGGTAAGTATGGTATAATTATTGTGAATACATCTTTAAATTTGCTTTCATCATCATTACAACCCTTCACTGTATGGCACAAAGGCCCAGAATCCACGCCAGAAATATAGTATGCAAATAGATAATCCATCAATCCATTACAGCCCTTCAAAAGTCCACTGCTGAACATCGGCCTCCCCCAAGGAATGCCACAAAGCACGGTCCTGAGCCACCTGCATTCATCGACTTCCTGCATGTCTTACCAGGTCATCACTTCATCTAGTGGGGGGACGCCCTACACTTCGTCCGCCCGTAAATTTGCTTTCATAGTGGGAGGCAATTCAGAAAACGAAATCGGGAGATAAGGCTTGGCGTTGCAGCTACATATCTACATCCATAATTTATTTACCTCACTCGATAGCTAAATAATTCATTACGTCGAGTGAGGACTGTGGCGCATCACTCGCGGCGGTGGTGGGTGCGCCGCCATTTGATGTCGTTTCTTTACGAATTCACGTAAAACACACGGCCGTGTCCATGACAGCCACACACCGATGTTTTTGTTTGAAATGTTGACTGTTGGCAGCGGTGCCAGCAGGGCGGCGGTGCACACACTTACCCGGCAGCTGAGCGGCTGCAGCAGCGGGTTGGAGGGCGGCAGCGGCGCCAGTAGGTCCGCGGCCGCGGGAGGTCGCTGCAGCGGCCACTGTGCCGCCGGCTCTACTTCTAGCTCCACCGGTGACTCGTCGCAAATCTTCTCCTTTGGCACACCTAGCAATAATAGTTGTATAAAAAATCCGTAAAAAAAATAACTTCAGTACATAAACTATTTTCTTTTGTTAAAGTATAAAAAACAGTTTGTGAACGATCCGGTCTACTTTCACTACCAATTTCCCATTTTATGACTAATTTGTACAATTATTGGAAGTACATTTTTATAGTTGAAAAAACTACAAAATCAATTTTAATAAAAACTTAATCTCGTATTCAATACGCAATTAAGCTTCATATGAAACGGTTTAGTGACGGTGACACTTACGCACGCACTCGTGCACGTATAGATGGACAGGTTTTCTATTGACCTCTACATTTTATAAAAAAAATTGTGTAATATTATAATTCGCATAACCTTGAGCCCTCTGAACACATGCTCGAGAACGAAACCGCGTATGGTACAGTTGAGTGCGCATGTGATTTGAGAATGAACGTAGCATTCGCACTAACTCGCAGCGCTGCGAGATGTGGGCGGGTGGGCAGTATGGAGGTTTACTCCGGGATCCCTCCGTTATTCCCTCAATATATACGGCACAATGTTTGGGTTAATGCTGCTGGCCAATATACTTAGAGCACAAAAAAGACGCATAACATGTGCAATATGCCTTTTACATCAGATAGATTCTCGTAAGAGTATAATTCAAATAATTAATATTTGTATGAATAAAATCTGTCTTAAAAATTGAATTGATAATGTGTAAAATTTGATTGTATGATATGTATTCAATAAAACTATTTTTTACGGATTTTCTCGCGTTTAACAGACATCGGGACGTCAAATATCTCAGTCCCCCCCGTGACCATGGGTTGCTGTAAAGCACCCAAAACGTCGGGAATTAAAATAGTAAAATTAAACACGATAAAATAGTTTTATTCAATGTGTAGTGTTCGCGTAAATATAAGAAATCATTATGTATGATATGTAATTTAATTTAAGACTATTGTAACTAATCAATGTAAAAATTTGCATGCTCTTTAAAAGGAACATAATGAAACTGTAACTTAGTTATGGCACCACTGTGAATCTCTATGATTCAGAAATATAGATTGTTTTTTTTTAGGAAAAATTATTTTAGATGCACTAAAAGCCGAAGTTGCCTCAGACGGATACATGCCTCGGTTTTGAATACACTATGTTAGGAATAAGAGTTGTGTTAGTGCTTGACTACAATAAGAAGCGACCCCTCGCGGGCCTCTGTGCCGTATAAGCCATCGGAGTAGGCGCATGTGTTTTATCCGAAGCGAAACTTTGACAGGCGTTGAAATTATTTTGGTAAGTAATCTTTATTGAATATTTTTATTACTGATCGTGTTTTCAGTCAACTTTTTGTTTCTTTGCATGCATTACAGTTTAAATTAGATTGTTTATTCTATTTCATTGCTGATGTTTTTTTATTTATTTTGTAAATAAAAAGGGCAAGTATCCGCATCAAAAAGGATCGTCGCCCTACTTACTTTCGCGGATAGTTGCCCCTAGAGTGACTATGAATTCTTTAATGAACAAAGGCAGATTTTTTTCTTTTCTTGGTTTTTCCAATTTACTGTGACTATAAAAAACTGAACAGACAGATCTCCAAGTGCATGCGGCGGGACTTGCACAACTTCAATACAGCTCGTATCGAAGAAGCGATCGAGCGGAACCAAGGCTCCAAAGTCTTTGCCAGAGATCTGTCTGCCAGAAAGAGCCAACTGTCAAAGCTGAAGACCGAATGTGGCAGCATCGTTTCCGGGGCACCTGAGATTTTGAGTGAGATTGAGAGGTTCTATGGGCAGCTGTACACGTCATCGTTGGAGCCGCAAGCAAGTGTGAGTAACGATCCAAGAGCGAGTCTTATCCGACATTATTCCGATGATATCCCGGACGTCAGTCTGAGCGAGATTAGAATGGCTCTCCAGCACCTTAAAAACGGCAAGGCCCCAGGCGAGTATGGAATTACAGCGGAGCTTCTGAAAGCGGGTGGAAAACCTGTACTTGAAGTCCTTCAGAAGCTCTTTAATTCCGTCCTCCATGGTGGCATTACACCGGAGGCGTGGAGCAGAAGTGCGGTGGTCTTGTTCTTCTAGAAAGGCGACAACGCTCTCTTGAAGAACTAGAGACCGATTTCCCTTCTGAGCCGCGTCTACGTGCTGTTTTCGAGAGTCATTACGAATCGTCTCGCGCGCAGACTTGACGACTTCCAGCCTCCCGAACAAGCCGGTTTCCGAAAAGGCTTTAGCACCATAGACCACATACATACCCTTCGGCAAATTGTACAGAAGTCCGAGGAGTACAATTTGCCACTATGTCTGGCGTATGTGGACTATGAGAAAGCCTTTGATTCCGTCGAAATTTGGGCGGTGCTGCAGTCCCTTCAGGGATGCAAAGTTGACTGTCGGTATATCGAAGTGTTGAAGTGCTTGTACAGTAGGGCTACGATGGCTATCCAAGTACAGAACCAGAGTACGAAACCTATCCAATTGCAGAGAGGTGTAAGACAGGGTGACGTCATATCCCCGAAACTCTTTACCGCTGCATTGGAAGATGCTTTCAAGCTTCTGGACTGGAAAGAATACGGTATCAACATCAATGGCGAGTACATCACTCACCTTCGATTTGCCGACGATATTGTCCTTATGGCAGAATCGCTGGAGGACCTAAGCACTATGCTCAATGATCTCAATAGTGTTTCCCAATGGATAGGTCTTAAGATGAACATGGACAAAACAAAGATCATGTTTAATGTCCATGTCACACCTATGCCGGTAGTTGTTGGGAACACTAAGCTCGAAGTTGTTGATGACTATGTTTACCTAGGACAAATAGTCCGACTAGGTAAGTCCAACTTCGATCGAGAGGTCAATCGACGGATTCAACTCGGTTGGGCAGCGTTCGGGAAATTACGACACATCTTCTCGTCAGGTATACCTCAAAACTTGAAAACGAGACTGTACACGCAGTGCGTGTTGCCAGTGATGACATACGGAACTGAGACGTGGTCCTTCACTGCTGGCCGGATGAGGAAGCTCAAGGTCGCTCAGCGAGCTATGGAGAGGGCTATGCTCGGAGTTTCTCTGCGTGATAAACTGAGAAATGAGGATATCCGCAGTAGAACCAGAGTGACCGACATAGCACAACGGATTAGTAAGCTGAAGTGGCAATGGACCGGCCATATAGCTCGAAGAACCGACAACCGATGGGGAAGAAAGGTTCTCGAGTGGCAGCCTCGTACCGGCAGGCGAAGTGTAGGACGTCCCCCCACTAGATGAAGTGACGACCTGGTAAGATATGCAGGAAGTCGATGGATGCAGGTGGCTCAGGACCGTGCTTTGTGGCATTCTTTGGGGGAGGCCTATGTTCATCAGTGGACTTGTGAAGGGCTGTAATGATGATGATGATGATGATGATGTGACTATAACTTGGTTTAAACAAAATAAATTCTTAACAGTTTTATATAATCATACCAGGTGAGCAAAACGCCTCGCAAGTATAAGTGAAAACAGGCGTAGTGCCACGCCACATCAGCTGGACAGAAGAGAGCTTAGCACTTTAAGATAAATGCTAATATTTTACTAATAACTTACATAACTTTAACTTTGAATAATATTTTTATATTTTAAAACATTAAAACTGAAGAATTGTTAATAATGTTAATTAATATTTTAAGTTGTACTTATTTAAAAGATCTCAGTAAATTATAAAGACAGATAAAAATAATAAAGATTACTTAAATTAATATAAATTTGTTTCTATCCAAAAAAAAAATATCGAGGTGACTATCCCGACACGAAGCAAGTATCCCCCGAAGCAATTTCCACGCTAGGCTACTATCCGCCACCATAGGCAAGTATCAGTTTTTTAAGCGGTCAAATAAAACAGGATTTATTCCAAACCATTGTTACTTTTGTTTACAAAAATAGGCTATTATAGGAGATAAAACATCTATGTTTTGATATACATATTGCATAACTTTTAGCAAATAATTTTTTTTTAAAATAGAGCTTTATTAAAAATTGGGGCAACTATCCGGCTTTTACCCCATCATGTGTGTACGAAGTGTGTGTTCTTACATTACAATAAGCAGAGCATGGTTTTAGTGTGGTACTTGAAATACAGGTTTATTTTTTCGGTTTAATGATATACCGTCATTGTAGGTTTTGAAAATACGAATAAATAAGGCTTGTACTTTTATTTGAAATTATCGCAAATTTAATGTGAATTATGACCAATAACCACACATACCCATAAGCATATCTAAAAATGTTTGCGTGTGTAGTAAAATAGTAGGCGTTAGATAATTGTGAATGACAATCAGTTAAAATTGAGGCGGCGCTGTCGTCGCGCCGCAAAGTTCCGAAATTAAAGCAGTATATATAGAATAGCTCCGAACTACCACTCGGAGCGTTGGCCGCTCCTTGGACAGAACACCTTGCCCGGCGGGAGATCTCCTTTTTACCTTCCTACGGCCACAAAATAATGCATTACCACGCACAATTTAAAACATAAAAAGGACAGAATGTTTGAGATGTTTTTAAAGTGAAAACTACATTAGAATCGTTGTGATTTGGAACTCGTTGAAAAGAAAAAACGACACTAAAAAGAGACAAACATACATCTATAGGATTTAGCCTGCGAGAGAATGATATAAAATACAATATACAGGATTAATTTTCAAAGAGTAGCCAAATGTTATATTGAAGTTCAAATAAATAAACTATTATATACCGATATTATTTTTTTAAATACGACTAAATGACATTCTCTCGAAGTTTAGTTTTCTGAAGGTTTCACTGCTACCATTTCTTCGTTTTTTTTCTTCTACGTTTTTTTTGTTCATTTTTATATTTTTTCACTATTCACGTATATTACTTATTCTAAATATTGCAAAATAACCCTGTACAGCGTTCTGTCCGGCTGGAATGTGAAATGAATACAAAGGAGCACTTACTGCGCGCGGGGCGCGGATGCAGCACGAGGTGCAGCAGCGAGCCGCTGGCCGCCATGAGGTAGAGCGGCACGGGCGCGCCGCGCGCCGCCGCCCCGCCCCCCGCGCACCCTGCACCGCCGCCGCCCGGACCGAAGCACGCGCGCGCCAGCAGCGGCGCGCTATTGCTCTCCTCCGACAGCGACGACAGCCGCTGCCGACCTGTGCGCCGACATTCAATCTCATACAATCGGCTTTTCATGTATCTACTACAGCACAGGATCACCTGCTACCAACTTCAAACGCATCTGTAGCCCACAGTTGCGTTGTCATAACTGGGGACTAGGATGAAGTGCCTCACAGCCTGTAATAATACTGACTCCCTTTACGTTTCAGACGGAAAGACAGCGACATTGCTGCTTGGTCTTGGCTTCTAGGCAGTAAAGGAGTGTGAATTCGTCTAAATTGTCAGTCACGCTTGAAAGATGGGAGTACCAGATGTTCCATATTTTAGACGCCACCACCCGTAATCGGTTGATGTATTTTATTATGAACAAAGATTTAACAGGTATGCCTGAGACTGCTGGTGACCAGGTGGACATAAGTTGTAGTTAGGGTGTCTCACCGGAACTGTTGCGCGTGATGGTGTGCGTGGGCAGGTTGGTGGTGGGGCGCAGCTGGGCCAACGGCTGCGTGACGGTGGGCGCGGGGAAGGGCGGCAGCCGCGGGTTGGGGTACCACGCGCCCTGCCCGCCCGCCGGCGTCGCCCAGCCCGCCTCGCATACCTGGGAACACCATGATTATTAAACAGCCTGCATATATCCCCTTCCCCATTTCTGCGCTCACGAATTTACGAACTTTTTTTTCACACGCAAAGAACAATGGCAGACTTTCGTACATAAAATTTGTTGAGAAGAAATGGTAGCGTCTATACATAGGCTGCACTAAAAGTATCGGGAATGGAATATTTCCACTGTTCCTGTCATATTAAAATCTTTTTAATTGAAAACTCCTTCGTTTTAAAAATCGAATACCATTTATTTATTTAAAAAAAGATTCTCGGTCTTGTCACAAGGTTTTGTCAAACTTGTTTAGTCGTTGAGAAAATGGAATTGACTCGAGAAAATTCAAGAGCGATGATTTATTATGACTTTCGAAGTGGTTTAACACAAAAACAGTATGTTGACCGGATGATTTCTGCATTTGGTGATTAAGCCCCATCCAAAACCACAATTTATCGCTGCTTTGCTGAATTTCAACGTGGACGTGTCAAGCTCAATGATGATCCCCGTCAAGGTTGTCCAAAAACTGCAGTCACCCAAGAAAACATTGATGCTGTGCGTAAGCTGATTGAGGAAGATCGACATGTGACATTTTAACAGTGGTAGAGCTACGCAGCAGCTTTTGCTATCGCACGGATGGGCCAGCTCGAACCGGGGTGGTACCACGACCTCACAGAAAACAATCGTGAAGTAGAGGTTTACCTCTGCGTTTCGCTGTGTGAGTGCAGGTGACCGGAGGCCCTTTTTACTGGAAATGAGGCATTCCATCTTAGTCCTCACGGGTGACAACGCATCTACATTTTGATTTGTAATAAAGGATAGATGTAGATATCTATGGACCGCAGCAACCACTTACCATCAGGTGGACTGTGTGCTCGTTTGTCACCCTTATCCTATAAAAAAAAAACATACCGCGAAATTCAGGCAACTTTAGACATTGGCATGAGTCAAATACAAATAATCTTGCATGAACAATTAGGTGTATAAAAAAGTTGTTTTCCCGATGGATACCGCATTCGCTCTGTGAAGAACAAGCAAAAAGCGGCTCGCGTTACTTGGTGCGTCAGAACTCTCGAAAGATTCCACGCAGCATCCTCAAATACTGTATACAACATCGTATCAGGTGACGAATCCTGGATATACGTATCCGTACGAACCCGAAACAAAAAACCAGTCACGAGTTTGGGTGTTCGAAAATGAGTTAAAGCCAACAAAAATTGTTCGTTCACGGAGTGTTTCAAAAAAAATGGTGGCCACGTTTGTCTCCAAAACCGGCCATGTTACGACTATTCCTCTTGAGGGACAAAGAACAGTTAATGCAGAATGGTATGGTAGCATTTGTTTACCACAGCTTGTTTCTGAACTCCGTAAAGAGAACTGCAACCGCCGCATCATCCTCCATCACGACAATGCGAGTTCTCACACCGCACACAGAACAAAAGAGTTTTTAGAGCAAGAAAACATAGAATTATTAGACCATCCGCCGTACAGCCCCGACGTAAGCCCTAATGATTTCTATACTTTCCCTAAAATAAAGAATAAATTGCGTGAAGAGAGATTTTCATCACCTGAAGAAGCTGTGGACGCCTACAAAACGGCCATTTTGAAGACCCCAACTTCCGAATGGAATGGTTGCTTTAATGATTAGTTCCATCGTATGGAAAATGTGGCAAATTTCGCGGAGAATACTTCGAAAAGCAATAAATACATTTTTAAATAGTAATGTTGTGTCACTTCCTTGATTCCCGAAATTTTCAATGCCGCCCTCGTATATCAAAAATATCTTAAAAATCTTAAGCGTCAGTCCCTGAGTAACTTTGTCAAAGAATTTTGTCCTGAGATGGCGTCAAAGAAAAGACATTTAGATTTGAACTTTTTTAGGTTATGTTTTATGTCACTTGAAAAAAGTCATGCGTCCTGTGGTTGTTTGATGTTAGCTTAATACATTCTCAACATAATGTTACCTACATAATTGAGAGTTTTTAGATTATTGTATCTCTATTATCTATTTCATCACTGCGTGTTGCCAGTGATCACATACGGAACTGAGACGTGGTCCTTCACTGCTGGCCGGATGAGGAAGCCCAAGGTCGCTCAGCGAGCTATGGAGAGGGCTATGCTCGGAGTTTCTCTGCGTGATACTCAGAAATGAGGATAGCACACTTAAAAAAGAAGTATAACTTCGTCTCCAGGTCCTTCAAAAGAGTTATTGCCAAGGCAAAGTCAGAGCACATAGGCAGAATTGGCGAGAAACTAGTTCGCCTTCCTTCGGGAACCCGTGCATTCTGGTCTCTCGCCAAGGCTGTCCAAGGGAATTTCTGTAAGCCATCACTACCATCTTTGCACAGGGAGGACGACTCACTGGCCCAAGACGCAAAAGACAAAGCTGACCTTTTAGGCTCCCTTTATGCGTCCAACTCGACTCTTGTTGACGGGGGGAAAACACCGCCGACCATCCCGCGGTGTGAGTGCTCCATGCCGGATGTGCTGTTTTCACACCGCTCGGTTCGCAAAGCACTTCTCTTCCTGGACATCCAGAAGTCGAGTGGGCCTGACGGAATCCCCTCAATTGTGCTGAGGACGTGTGCTCCGGAGTTGGCACCGGTCCTAAACGCGTCTTTTCCGGTACTCCTACTCCCAAGGCGTAGTCCCGAATTCATGGAAGACAGCTTTTGTCCACCCGATCCCTAAAAAAGGCGACCGCTCAGACCCGTCCAACTATAGGCCTATCGCGATCACCTCCTTGTTCTCCAAAATAATGGAATCCATTATTAACTGCCAGCTCATCCGGTACCTTGAGGATCACCAGCTGATTAGTGACCGCCAATACGGTTTTAGTCGGGGTCGATCAGCTGGTGATCTTCTGGTCTACCTGACCCATAGATGGGCGGAGGCAGTAGAGTCCAAGGGGGAGGCGTTGGCCGTTAGTCTGGACATTGCGAAGGCCTTCGATCGGGTTTGGCACAAAGCGCTTCTTTCAAAGCTCCCTTCCTATGAGCTTCCCGAGAAATTGTGCAATTGGATCACCAGCTTCCTTGCAGATCGGAGCATCAAGGTCGTTGTAGACGGTGCATGTTCTGACTACAGGCCTATTAACGCTGGTGTTCCACAAGGCTGTGTGCTATTACCAACGCTATTTCTTCTGCATATCAATGATATGTTGCTAACTGGTAACATTCATTGCTATGCGGATGACGGCACTGGTGATGCGCTATACACCGGCCGTGCAAATATTTCTCGGGAAAACTTCGCCGAGTACCGGAACAAACTTGTGTCTGAAGTCGAGTCTTTGCTGAACAAAGTCTCGGATTGGGGGCGACTAAATCTAGTCCAGTTTAATCCTCAGAAGACACAAGTTTGCGCGTTTACCGCTAAAAAGAACCCCTTTGTCGTATCTCCTCAGTTTCAAGGCACTCCCCTTCTTGCCTCAGCCAGTATCGGAATCCTCGGTGTCGACATATCGAGTGACGTGCAGTTTCGTGGTCACTTGGAAGAGAAGACCAAATTGGCCTCTAAAAAGCTTGGCGTGCTCAGCAGAGCGGGACAGTATTTCATGCCGGCACACCGCCTGCAACTTTACAAGGCGCAGGTTCGGCCTCACATGGAATACTGTTCCCATCTCTGGGCAGGGGCTTCCCAGTGCCAGCTCCTTCCACTTGACCGCATCCAGCGCAGAGCGGCTCGAATCGTCGACGACCGAGCCCTTTCCGATCGGCTCGATTCATTGGCACTGCGAAGAGATGTTGCATCCCTTTGTATTTTCTTTCGCATCTACCATGGGGATTGCTCTGAGGAATTGTTCGGATTAATCCCAGCCGCCAAATTTCACGAACGCACATCGCGGCAGAACTCCCGATACCATCCACACCATCTGGATGATTGGCGGTCCACCACTGTGTGATTTAGAAGATGTTTTCTTCCTCGCACGACTTCCTTTGGAATCGATTACCATGAGCGATTTTTCCGGACCGATACGACTTGGGAACCTTCAAGAAAAGAGCGTACTCCTTTTTAAAAGGCCGGCAACGCATCTGCAATTCCCTCCCTGGTGTAGCAGTTGTTCATGGGCGGCGGTAATCACTTACCATCAGGTTAGCCGCATGCTCGTTTGCCCCCTCTCCTATAAAAAAAAATCCGCAGTAGAACCAGAGTGACCGACATAGCCCAACGGATAAGTAAGCTGAAGTGGCAATGGGCCGGCCATATAGCTCGAAGAACCGACAACCGATGGGGAAAAAAGGTTCTCGAGTGGCAGCTTCGTACCGGCAGGCGAAGTGTTGGGCGTCCCTCCACTAGATGGAGTGACGACCTGGTAAGATATGCAGGAAGTCGATGGATGCAGGTGGCTCAGGACCGTGCTATTTTTATTATTACTTATACTAATAATAACTTCCTATAAAAAAATTGTGTTTGTTTATTTTGTTGGTAGTCTTACAAAGTGTATACGAAAATAGTATGAATATAGTAAATGGCAATACTTGAATAGCGCAAAATGATTAAAGTCATTTGATATTCCCAAAAAAGTAGGTTTTTTCGTTGCCTTAAATTAAATACATTTTTATTTGAAAAATCATAGAAAAATAATTAAACTCATTTTATATATAAGTTGTTTTTAGACGCGACCATTTTTGGCAACTATTTTTCTGCCCTTGTTATTTCCTGACATGCTTTCTTTTGACATAATATGATTTAGTGTATACGTACGGGGCTGTGTGCGGCCGCGACGGAGTGTATGGGCAGGCCGGCGGAGCGCTGGAAGCGGGACAGGCGGTTGACGACGCGCGGCTGCGTGTGCGTGCGCACGCCACACGCGCCGCCGTACGGACTGATCGCGAACACGTGGGTGGTGCCGCGAAGCGTCGAAATCGCCGCCCAGCGCGAATCCGCCGAAATCGCTATATCCTGCACAACAAAACATATTATTGGGCCTGAGGAAAATTTACGAGTGCATATTTGTCTCGTAAATGGTCACACAGTGTCATCATCATTGAAAAGTTACGTTTTAAATAAAAAAATTCGGTACTTTTTTAATTACGTTATGTAGTTTGGTTTATCCATTTCTAACCTAATTTATGTAAACTATAACTAATATTCCAGAAAAAAATATTAACCTTTAAAATTTTCTAGTAAATCTTAGCCTACAAAATCTAGCCTAGCAAAACTTCCCCTGCCATGAAAACAATAATTCCACCTCATTTACAAAAATTCGTGGATACCCTTATTTCAGACAGTAACGAATTACAAACAATCTTTAAATGCATAGGAGATTACAGCCATAAGTTCACGCTCTAACACAGAATCTCTCATGCTTCTTGATCTACCAGGGACTGACAATCACAACAAAACTAAAATTTAAATGTTGTTATTAAATTTAATTTAATTGTTAAGCTCTAGATTTAATAATCGGGACTTAAATCCAATGCCTGTATCACAATAGGCGAATACTCTGACCACTAAGCCATGAGATCGTCATTGATTTATTTCAATCAATAATATGAACCGGTAAATTAAAAAGCTGAAACAGTATTCAACTGATATAGTTATTCTATTTCACGATGAAGTTTTGACTTTGATTGTTGTTAACCATGCACGTACACATTGTTATAGTATGCGTAAGTTTGGTTGTCACTAACAACCACCAAAGTCAAAACGTCATTGTGAAATAGAATAACTATATCCACATATTATATAGAAAATGTTAGAGTTAAGTTAGAGTTAATTTATATTTTTTATTAACCATTAGAGTATCACAATTGTGTAGTATACCACTTACCTGCACTTTGGCTGTAGTATCTCCCCGATGCAATATATAAAGGTGGTGTACGGAGGCCAGTGTAGGTCCAAATGGGTGCGGGTTGATTCGGAACACGTGAAAGTCATGACCACGCCGGTCCGCCGTCACTAGCAACATGCCGCTGGGGTCGAACTTAAGAGCTATGATCGCTTCCGAATGCGCTACGAAATGAGCCACGATGGGGTCGCATAGTTCTTCACTTTCTTGACCATCTTCTTCTTCGTTCCCCTAATTTCGAAAGGAATTTACCGTTACAACATCTTAAAAAAAATACTTAATTGACATGAGGAAACCAATTCAAAAAAGACAAAGTTATACCCAAATCTAAACTAAAATTAATGTTTTATACTTTACACCGGTTAACATTAATAACTTTACATACATACCTCGATATCCAGTACAGTAATGACTCCAGGCTGCTGGACATCTGCGTGGGGCGGCGACGGCGATTGGGAGGTGCTCCGCCCCCCAGCCAGGCTGTGCGCTACACTTTCTCCGAGACCTCGTAAACCTTTGCTCAGGGACTTAGCCGCATGGAGGACAGTCGCCGTGTAGCTTGTTGCGCCTTCGCCTTAAATAATAAAAATACGAAGAAAAACATTTAAATAAAGAACAATATATCACTCAATAACAATACTTATTACATTCTTGCACGAATAGATTATGTACATTGATAATGAATATATAACCTGCAGAAGAGGAAAAAGTATCCATCACCTTGTATCGGCCAGTCGCGACGGCAATGATTCCACGTAAATACGAGGATACGGCACACGTTACCTTGGAGCGTTTAATAAATTTATACCAGCCAGCTTCATAACGAATTTCAGAAATGAGTTCTGTGCCTCTTAAACCATAATTTAAATCCGAGAATATCAATAAACCAGGTTTTGTATTAATATGGTTAGTGTTGGTTTACAAACTTAAATTGCAATCGCAATAGTGCAATTATTTGAGCAGGCCGCAAAAAAAATTACAATTTTTATATATATAGGTATTAAATCTGGTAAATATTGTAATAAATCTTTTATAATATAGTTTATCATAACGGACTGCAGGGAAACGTATCTTAACATTTTACAGGGTTAAGTACCCAATGCACTCAACCCACAATACGCAGGCTAATAATGCAAACAGTACATCCCCAAAACCTAAGACTTCGTTGTTTTCATTGGTATAATGACTCGATTATCCTTAAATTTAGAATATAATACTAAATATTACGTATTTACCTATGAAATTGCCGTTTTTTATTAAAGTTAACGTAGTTTTTATCTATATTTTTCATTTCTGTTAATCAAAGTAATCATGCAACCGATGCATCTTTGCCTATATAGTGGCAGTTTATTGAAGTCCACTTTGAAGAAATCAACTGGACGGGAGGCAACAAATTCTTCAAAGGCATTTTGTACTGCCTCTCGAGTACTGAATTTTTTTCCCTGTCATAAAGTTCAAATTCTGGAAAAATTAGAAATCTGTAGGCGCCAGGTCTGGTGAGTAGGGCGGATGACGGAGAGCTTCCAACCCCAGCTCTTGTAACTTGGGTTCCGTATGTTATGCAGTATGAGATCGCGCGTTGTTGTGCAGAAGCAGCGGGGATGAGCAATTAACTAAAGCTGGTTGGGAGACTTGTTCTACATCATCGTGTTTAGTTATTCACAGGACACATCTGCTTTTATGTTCATCCCCGTTTAGTAAGAACCTGTGATGAATCACACCGGCGCCAGACCACTAAACAGTGACCATCACTTTTCTAGGGATAAATTTTCGTTTAGGTTATTGTTTAGGTGCTGAACTTGCTGAGCGCTAGCGATTGACAAACAGAATCCATTTTCGCGGGTAACAATGCGATCCAAAATTACTTCGTTTTTATGCCTGTTGAGCAGTGCAAGTCACGTCTCGACGCGTACTTCGCGTAGTTCATTGAATTCGTGGGGCACCCTTTTGTCAGGCTTTTTTACATTGCCAATTTCATGCAAATGGACCAATACTGTTTTGATGCTAACGTCGAATGCTGCTGCTAAGTTAGCCGTAGATTGAGTATCATCAGCTTCCACGATCGCCTTTAATATGTCATTGTCGACCCAAGTTTTCGGACCACCACGGGGTTAATTTTTCAAAAAGAGTTCAATGTTTATAATATAAAATTAATTTGAAATTAGAATTCTTAGCCAAACAAAAAATATTTTGATTTGAAATGGCCAGTACTGCAGAACAATCAGTACTGCAGACCGGCAATTTCGTAGGTAAAGGCCTACTATAATAAGTCGCATAATTAGTACCATGTCGCAGTGGCGTAGAAAAGGGTTCCCCGCTAAAGAAAAAATTTCACCCCTTTACCCACATTCTTATCGTATCTTAAGAATATTATAAATCGGTAAGTCTTCTATAGTCTTTGCATATTATAAAAATTAATGAAACAATAACATTTATTTTTATATTTTTCCGTAGTTACCATTTGCAAGTACGTGTGTGTGCCAAGTTATCTACTCACATCAGATGCCCATTCGGCTGCTTCGCTTCACACCCCGTTCAAAATATTTTTTTAATTTCCCTCATATGTTATCATAAATAGACGAGTATCTTAAGTTCTTAAGTTACCTTTCAACAAATGACACGACTTTGCTTTATACACGTGCTTTTATGTGACAAAGTAAGGTTATTTTTAGTTACAATAATAAAATAAAATCGTGAAAAGCGATAAAACAACTCGGATTTAACAACCGTTGTTTTATTGCATTATGAAAAAGTTATCAGTATCAGTCATCAATGTCGGTCGACCGTAAATTTAGATTAATTGTGAATTAGTTTAACATGTGTTGTGTAACTTTTTTTACAGTAGACGGGGCGAACGAGCATACGCCTCACCTGATGGTCTTTTAACCAGGGTACTTTCTCTCTATTGCTGTAGATAATTTTGGCAGCATTTTAAGTTAATTTAATATGCATATAATAATATGTAAAGGACTTTTACAGCCTAAATATGGGTACAAGCCTCATTTCGCTTCGTAGAGAGCAAGAAAATATTCACTGCTGTGCCCCAGTACGTGTTGATCGACTACTCCTAGATATTTTTTTAATTTTTCAGAAAGGTTTCATCGCGTGTTTTACTTCCCCACCTGGCACTTGGCATCAGCATGAAAAATTGTAATTAACAATTTCATTAAACTCGTCTCGCACTTTTGACGCTACTCTCCATCGCCGGACTGGTTATTTTATGTCCAGCATACCCCAGATTTTATCAGAGGCCATGAGATCTTCCTCTCGCATCATCTTTATCTCGCTTATCTTACAATCGCTTCTTAATGTATCCTCGACATGATTTAGAGTATATAATATTTTTTACCTAGTTACTCCGAGTAAATATTTTACCATCCTGATTTCCATGGGTAATAACGCATCTTCTTTATGAGTTAAATGGATAAGCAGGGGTTATTGACAGTAACCTTAGTGCTTATCAGATGAACTTTGTTGCTAATTTTCATTTTAAGTGCCACAAAAAAAATCATTAAATCCGTTTAATATTTAGTATTTACGCTTTAATATAATGTAATATATAAACAAATGTGAGCGCATTAAATAAAAATTAAGGCGAATAAAGAGTAGGTAGGTATTAGAAATAGATGTACGATATCGCGTAGTATGTGGCAATAAGATACGCGAGACCGCACTGCATTCAACAGCTGTGAGGTCGACGCATAGCTCGAATTACCTCTTTATCGAACGAAAAACAAAGAAACAATTACAATGAATACATGCAATGTAAATAATAAAAAAAATACAGCTGTTTGCAGTTTTACAATTACTACGGAAATAATGAATTACAAACCAACACATAATGTGATATTATTTTTGATATGAATGTCTCGGTTTTTGTTATTGAGAGCCGTGGTAGTTCAGGGCTAAGCGTCACTGTAAATTTTACAGCACGCGTGCAATCCCCGTCCAATAAAATTATTAATTGCAATTTTAATTGCTAATCTACCACATACTCGGCGATGCAGGAGTACATCATCTATAAAGGGGAGATCTCCAGCTGGGCTTGGAGATCTTCCCTTTATAGATCTATCATCTTAACAAAATTCTAGGGCATATGTCCGCCAACAAGCTCTGACCACATAAACCTCCTAAACAAGTGAGTGGAGACCAGCGCACAGCAGGAGTAGATGCACAGGATGTAAAAGGGGAGATCTCCAGCTGGGCTTGGAGATCGGCCCGGGGAGCAGCTCCATCTGCCAGTTCAGATTCGGAGCTATTCTATATATACTTGGTGTATTTCGGAATTTTGATAGCGTAATTTAGGTTTCGGTTCGTTTCGATTGTGGCGCGACTGTAGTGCCATCACTAACTTTTAAGGTTATTGCAATCTCTCGTATAAAATATTTTCTGCGAGAACATTACACGATAGACATTCTTAAATAAGTAACAATATTTGATGGAGAAATAATTTAACGACAAACCTTAGCCCGCCCTAGTATAATTAATCTAGGATTTAGAAACTACAATTTGTTCCATGAAAGAAGTACCGCGGATAACGCAAACTAAAACTTAAAGTAGAAGACGAAGACAATGGAACCGCGGCTAATAAGGCACTTCTTTAGTTATAAAGACTCTTCTTGATAATGTCTTCTTCAAAGTATGGTGTTAAACCCAAGACTATCAAAAAGGCAGTTTTTAAGACGTTAAAAATGTATATTACATTTTTTAAACTATAACTGATAAAGTAAAGTAGCTGAACATAAGAGTTTTTCTCATTTAAGATAACCTTTTGGAGTATGAAATGGACAGCCGCGCTACCAATACGCGTTAGCATGTCCTCAAGGTAAATTCTTTTAATTCTTGGAGATGCAATTTCATCATGATGTTTTACTTTACGATTTAACCATTCACCACTTAAAATCGAATCGAACTCGATTTGCTCAAGTAGATAACTTTTTTATTTACACTTACAGTATTTCTATAAATGCGTAAATATGACCTTCGTAACAGACAGATCAAGTTACTTTTACGTCTAAAGAAATTGCAACCGGTTGGTAAACTAGTCTTAAAGTTAATAACCGAGGCTAATTCTTTATAAAGTATAAAAATAATTCATTCATTACAATAGACTATCAAAGTCCGTAGGGGGGATATTTGCCATAGTAGTCGAGCTAGGCAGGTGGTTTGGCAAACGCAGTTCTTTGCTGAGGACCCTCCACCTTCCCATGGCCCAACCAACCTCGCGGATATACGGGCCGAATCTCGAGAGATGCACGCGGTACTTGCACTGGGCTCTTTCCCACGTGCACTTTCTTGACTCTCTACAAGTTATTTACTCTACTCCTTGTCCCGTTTTACCACTCTTTCCTTTCTGGGCTGGACAAACACAGCACGCCTACGTTTCCGGGCAGATCTTGCATCCTCTCATGCTTCTCCATCGCTGTTCAGGAGTTGTTATCAGAAAGATGCTGTTGCCCTCTTGTCGTCTCTTACGAAACCCACGGAATGTTATAGGATTAGTGTATTACGCTGCCACTACATAACATTATACATACATACGTATATTTAAATGCAGCTGATAGACAAAGAAATGTTTGCTAGTCGTGTGTATTTATTAGGTTCATAAGTATAATATTAAATATTTAAAAAAATATTAACGTAAATCATGGTCACTAGAGGCTTTTTGAATTTATTAACTTATGCCATTTTAATGGAACATCATTGATGCTTTTGTCGTAGAAATCTTAGGGAAGAAAGGAAGAAGGATTAGTTCTTTAAAGATGTTTTTCACTGTCACATCCGAGTTGAAATTTTTTTGCTTCCTCTCCGCGATACAGTCATAATAGTTAAACAATCGAAATGTTCATAATGTATATGATTCATGGGATAGGGCAAGGGTTAAAACTAACTGTTCCCTCGCGACTTCGCGTGGAATTGATTTCATGAGTTTTAATTTTTTTTTTTTTAATAAATGTAGCCTATGTTACTCCTTATAAATCTGCTATCTGCCAGTGAAAGTTCCGTTATTCCGACAGTCATTCCGAAAATTAGTCGGAACAAACAGACAAACATTTTAAAAATTGATTTTTTTTATATAAGTAGGCGTTTATACCTTCATATGCATTTAGTAAAAAGCTGTTAATCTGACATTACAAACTTATTGAAATAACAATTAGTAGAAACAAAGTCTGGCAAATATGGTAGATGACATTGATGTCCATTACAGAGCCATTTATTTATTGTGCCACAAGCAATATCACTGTGGACTCAAAACTGAACTTTCAAACTCAGTACCATGCTCTGTTGTATTTCTTGGTGAAGGCCTATGTTCAGCAGTAGACGTGTGAAAGGCTGTAATGATGATGTTGATGAAGCAATAGAACTATTATAACCCATTATTTTATTATAATACACTGTTAACTAGAGAAATGACAATGACATACATAATATTGTGAGAGAACTGACCTCTAAGTGAGGAGCTGTGTACAGGTGTCAATGCAACTGTGCAGTTACACTTTGGGCCCAAACTGAACAAATTGCTATTCTCACTACTAACATAAATAATGATAATAAATACCTTCGCAACCTCCACTGCTCCTTTTCGACGGAATCAATTTCTTTTCGGCGTAAGCGAGCCATCGATCTCCAAGCGCAAGTGGATTTATAGGCGAATTTCCACCGAGCGGGCACGGGCAAGGGTAGCACGTGGTGATCGCCAAGCGGTCCTCGAGCGTCGCAGCGTCGAAGACAGCGAAGCGTTCCGAGAATGACACCACCACGGATCGTTTGTTTGCCAGTACATCGAGGATTGGATTCTTAAATTTAATGCTTTTCACCTATCAAAATAAGTTTAAAGTTAAATAACACTCATTCCAGGCCGACATTTGTATAAAAAGACAAATTATTGACTTTCATGTTGGCTTGGTAACAGACACCTAGCCTATGTGTTACATAAAACATATTAGGTTAATGTTCTTTTGCACTGAATTTCGGTCTGGCGGCCAGTCTCTACAGAAAATAGCCATCCGTGCAAGAATCCTGTCTTGCGCGGATGGCTGTAAAGCACGAATGTTAGCGCAAATACAAGTGCATTCTCTATTTATTCCCTCACTTCCATAGTCCGTTGTGGGGTGGTGGGGGTTTCTGGCCACCTTCCTGACTCCAGACTGCTACTGATAATTTCTTGGCAGGAAAACCCAATAACTAATTTATGAATACTAAACTCACATAATATAGTTATGAATGTGAGTACTTGTACAATATTATTATTAATGTAACCAACAATCAACCATTTCGTCATTAGTTATGAGGTAGTAAGGCTACCTAGCACAATACATGAATACCTAAATTATGGTGTTTTATTGGATCTAACAATATGATAATGGCATTAGCACAGTTTAACACTCTTTAAATTGTTTTATTAGATTATTTGCAGCAAATCGTTATATAAAGTATATTAATATAAAATAAAATAAATATATCAAAGTATAATAAATAATAATATATTCAAAATTTAAATGAATACATTATGGTATGTGAACTATCATTAAGGTTCACATTTTATTCATTAAATTGACAAAACAGAACAATTTGTAAATTTAATCTTATCTTTAAAACTTTTTATAAATAAGAGTGTATGTCTTTGGCTATTCATAAAGATTAAGAACTAAGAGTAAGATACAAAAAAATATTGTTTTGGAACATACCTGTTCACCTCCCCTTATTGATATAAAACTGAGTGAGCAAAAAGTCGGCCCAGGGCTGGCTGAATCGCACAAAGCTATGAGGGGCCTTTTCGATGCAAAGCAGTCGCCGTGCTGCGGAGTTGGCAGTATACGGAGCACCCTCACTGTTCCTTGTCGCCAAGAAAGTACTTCTTGGGCATCGCCAGTATGTGGTATTAACCATACTTGGACTCCAGAACCATATCCCAGGATTAATAATAGAGGTGACACATCTTTATCACTATCTCCTTCTGGTGTTGGTTCATTAATATCAGCAGTCTCGAATCTGTTTGGGTTGAAGAATATTTTTAAGTACAATCACTAAAACGTTAAAACACTTAATGTAATGAAAAATAATAGTCTATCAACATTATTTTGCTTTTAATTACATTAAATGCATTTTTCATGTAGTTAAATTAGCATTATAAGCCATGGACGTATAAAAAAAGGCCTTAGCCATCTTAAAAACCTTATTTATATGTCCATGATATTGATATAAGCTAATAAACTGTTACAAACACATTTTTTTCTTTTTTGATTACTTACTATAAAGATATTTAATTCGGAAATCTTGAATCATTCCTTAAATAACATTCATCATATATCAGACATTGTATATGACCTTCTATTCTTAGTAGACTAAATTATCTTACCTAGCCCACTGTATAACATCCTTGGGGTCAACATTGGATGAGGAGGAGAGGGTGACATCATTGATAAAGCCCGAAACAGCATCAATGATACCTCTATCACTTGGAGGCTGTGATAGCACTGTTAGGGGACCCCCAGAGCGAATGTGCCGCGGTGACTCCGCTGACATATTGGATTAGGGCCTATTTGAAAAAAATTGTATATTAATGCTTTCTGAAATAACAATATTGTGTACTTTAGTTTTTTTTTCTTTAGTTATTCCAATTAAATTAGTAGCAAGACTTTATTAGCCAATAATTATTTATATTAATCAAGTAAAATCCAAGTTAGAATATATTATGAGTACATGTATAGATATGATAGAATATAATGGTTAGATTTTCATTAATGTTTATTAAGTTTTCACTGGTTATCAAACTTTTAAGCATTTTATCGGTAACCTTGGATGAATTATCACACTACATGTAGTCATAAGATCTTGCCACTGTTATATATGTGTATCAAACTATTGATCAAGTCTCTTGCGCTATCCCACAGAGCCTAGGTATAGGACTGACATGAACTATATATAAAAGGTATAGTACATGTCAGTTTGGCAACACTGCACTGTCTGTGTGAATTGTATCAGATCATTGCCAACTAGTCAATAAAAATATTGCGGAAGTTTTTTTTAATACAATAAAGGTGTCAAACGAGCACACAGTCCAGTCCACCTGATGGTGTAGATGGCCCACAGACATCTACATCTACATCACCCATCACATAAAAACATCTACCCCTGAGGACTAAGATGGAATGCCTCGTTTCCAGTAAAGTGTCTCTGCTTCTCTACACTCGCCATATGAAACACAGCAGTATTGAGCTGCTATTTTACGCTGATATTCTGTGAGAGTGTGCTCCTCCCCCAGTTGAGCCGACCCATTTGTGCTACAATCGTAATATAGCTGCAGTATGACTCTACCAGGGTAAAGTTTATAGAACTATCACAACATTGACTGAAATCTCAGTGTCTAGCTAAAATTTATTTGGAAAAGGTGAAAATGTATCTTGTACATCAAGAACAACAAAGAGAGGTAAAAGCCCAAATTTATTATTTCATACATTTGTCTTTGAAAAACTTTTACATGCAAAAACAATGAGCTTTTTACCAGAAAAGCTTGTAGTAATTACATTTTATTAGTTCTAAGTCATACATTTGTGAGTGGTAATGATAAAAATTAAGTGGAAAACCATTAATTATTGTAATTTTAAATCAATTATATTTAACAACAATTTTTTTTAAGTTTACAAAATGCATAGAAATACGATATGAGTGGATCAAAATTGTAAGATGTAATAACCAAGAACCTTCCTGTTACATTGCCAGCTTATAAATTAAAAAATTTAAAACCGATGCAGTACCAACCTTTTTTAAAACAATATTAAGTCATACTATCAACCTGTAAGTTTTCTTATGTTGCCACAATACTTTTCAACCACGTAGTGTGTAAAAATATGCACTACCCCATATCGTCCTGTAAGACACGTAAGAGCCGACAGAGGAAAAAAAGCCAGGAGATGGGCAGTGGCATCTTCCTAATGACAACTAAACTAAACAGCGGTTGCCAACCCCTCGGTGAGGCAATCTATGGGGAAGCCTAAGGTTGTGTTTCCACCAGAGATGTGCAAAGTAGCTGAGCAGTGCGATGATGCGTAGCAAGGCTGTGGAATGGTGTGAGCGTTTCCACCAGAGATGTGCCATGCCGCTGAGCGGTGCAAAGATGCGTAGCGACGCTGTGAAACGGTGTGCAGATGAGCGGTTGTAACGTGGATGTAGCGGGCTAGTTTTATGTGTGTAGTGGGAGGTGTGGTGGGAATGGAGCGGCGCGTGCCACTGCCCGCTGCTTCTAGAGTCCTTCCCTAGCACACATCCCCATCAACACATCCCTCGCAACACATTCCTTGGAACACATTTCTCACAACACATCCCTTGAACACATTCTTCCCTTGTTTTGTATATACAAAAACCTCGCTCTGCTGATCTGTTTCCACCAGAGCTGCACTGAGCGAGGCTAGGTAAATGAAGTGATTCTATTGGTTCTTAACAAACACATCACTCGCTACGCATCCTCTCACATCTCTGGTGGAAACGCAACCAAAAGGTAACGAAACTGTACTATTATTACGGCCTGTAAATGCTAACCTTTGAATGTTGAATAGGCATTCCTTTAAAGGGGGACTAATTGTATATACCAGTTACCAGACTGTTGAAAGTAACTATTGAAAAGGGTTGTAGATTGTGAAGCAACTATAGAAATTATTTTTATATTTAACAATTTATTTGATTTATTTCATATGGATACAAACAAACAACTCCATCAAGAACCCTTGAGAAAACATATTGGCTTATAAAAGAGTATTGATTATATAAGAAATTTTAAATACAACACAAATACCCACCACAAGTTATAAAAGAAGCCTCCTCAATAAACTCATTCAAACATATGGTTGAGGCACATTATTTAAAATTACTTGGATATTATTATTGGTTGATTTCCTCATGAATTTGTTATTCATATACTATATTATGTATTTTATTGGTATAATGAGTGTATATATATGTATAAACTAATACATTTTCATAGCTTTCATCCCACTATCAAAGGTTACCAGGTAGAGATTGGCTATTCGGCAAGTTCGCCATTGTACTAATTATTTTAGGTGCAATCTATATAAATAACTTTGTCATTGGTATTCACAAAAAGTTAGTTCTTGGAATTTTCAGGCAGACGTTGCTCTGCCCTTTCCAACGACACGTGCCATAAAAAATCCTTAAATTTGCGATTAAAAAATATTGAGGGTCACTTATCAGGATAAAAGTATCCTATCTCTCAAGTTGGACCAAACTGCACACAGTGTGCAAAATTTCATTGAAATCAGTTCAACAGTTTAGGAGTTCATTGCGGACAAACAATGTGACATGTAATTTTTATATATAAAGATGACAATTCTAGAGTACCCAACAAATATTTCCTCCAAATTTCAAATTTAGAGATCCACTGATCAGTCTGTTTTATATGATAAGATCAGATTAAATTAGACTATGATGAACTATTTTCGGCAATTCTACGTCTAAGTGCGTATTTTGCGTGTGAGCAGAATTATTATGCATTGTAAATGTAAAAATTATTTCAAAGATTTGTTATTCAAATAAAACATCTTTTACTAATTTAAGCAAGACAACAGGCAAAAGATCCCGGAATACAGGTTAGCAATGAATATGATGGGAGACATTTTTGAGGAGTGTTATCAGTAATTTCAAATCACATGCAACGTAGCGATACATTATTTGGAGATGCTATACCGGCGAAAATAAACCTAGAAGTCACTATTTCCTTTTAATCTCTATATAATGAAACAAACTGAAGAGTTTGGTCTTCAGTCAACTTTATTGTTAGGAATTTATATAACTACAACAATGCGTGTTCACTGTTCAATGTTCAATCCAGCACTGGATTGGCCATCTACACTAGTCTACTACATTGTCTACTAAGGCTGATTTAGACAGGGTCAGTAACTGATGCTAGTGCTGGCACCAAGGACTCACTCGCACTGTTTACATGCAGTCAGTAGTTGTGGTAACTTCTTCAAGGTGTACGCACATTATCAAAGTCAGTGGGCAAAAAGGAATTCACGGAAACGGCAGAATTCACAAGCGATTGAAATATTTATTGAGAAAATGTTTCTATCTGCTGTTGAAAGAGTTGACAGAAATGTTAGAAGAAAGGATATTTAACAAGAAACGACTTTGGATAAAAAAAAATAGTCGACAGAATAGAAACTGGAGGTCCCACTTTGGTGTTGATGCGACATCACCCTACAATGTAGCGTCAGCGCCTGACCAAGTACTGACTTGGTTGTTTAGACAAGGTTTATAGCACTGGTGCAGCTGGTAGGGAGAGTGGACTGACTTCAAAATATTTAAGCAGGAATATTAAAGTCAGTACTGGCACGACAGCGCTGTATTGACTCCAAATCAATTTACACTATGTCAGTATCGGGTCACTGACTCTGTGTAAATCAGTCACTACAGTGATGTTGGAATGGGTGAGCTGGAACAAAAAAGTATTCCAGTCCAGTGACTGGACTGCATTACTCACTGGAATAAGCACATTCCAGTGCATTGCATTTTCGGTTCACATTATTCCAGTGGCATTCCAGCACTGAAATCGATCGCTGGACTGGAATGCTATCGATCCAGTGCTGGAATGCCACTGGAATAATGTGAACAAAGCATTAAATCAAAAGACTGTCCAGTGTGATAATTCATCCAAGATCAAAACACGAGATAATAAATTAATTTAAAAAAATAAGAAAACAATTAAGAATTATAAAATCTAACATTCCTACTATTAAATAATTTTGTTTAAAAAAAAACTGACGTTTATATAATACATACAAATAAGTGTCAATAATAATAGCAGTCTGTATCAAAAACTACAATTATAGGTACAAACAATATTTACGCTTCTGAAACAGCTATTGAAAGTATTTTCGCAATTACATTTAAATTATTTTGTTTTGTTTTGTGAATTTCGAAATAAAAGATGGGAGGACAAAGGAAATCGATAATGTTCACTCAAGCTAAAACAGAACTAGACCAGTTTTTACGATTGATTTTATGTACTTATACTAATTTAGAGGCTAATAATTACCTTATTCGCTATTAGAAGTCTCATTTTAGGTCCATCTCTAAAAACAATGTAATTGCGTTGTATTTCAAAACATGACGTCACGCAAAATTAAAAAACACTGTTACACTGTCTAAATTTAAAGTAATTGTATTTTATATTGATTTAACCTTTCAAATATATAAAAATTAAAAATTCTATTGTAACAATTAAATCACAATTTAGTGAACAATTTTGACAATCCTAACGCCCACTCTTCTGCACTTTTTTTTCGTTATTTGTTTGTGTACTACTTTTTATATAATGTGTATTTATATGCACTTGTCAGTGTGTAGAAGCTGTCACAAAATTACACAAACACAAATACAAAGAACCAGCTGGCTACCACTCTTATCTATGCTGGCTACTCAGCTGCTACGTACTAAGTGCTATATATAACTGCTATCTGCTAATCACAGATTAAATAATAAAATAACATATGCAATGTTTATTCAACGTTTGTCCCTGTATGCTTCCTCTACACTACTCGCGAAGTAACTTTGACGAAGTGCTCGTCGGAGTCGATCGCAGTCCGAAGAACGTGAGTACACACTCGTGCTATTTTGCGAAGAGCTCAGTCGTCTTGAGTCTCCCGCACCCTTAACATGAATAACGTTCAAGAGGCAGCTGCTATAGGAACCTAATTGTGTGAACAGTACGACGTCAATGGGTTAACTAAATAAATAATTATGTAAAAAGCTACATATTTAATATTTATATATAAAAAAATATATTCATAACTGGCGTAAGCCGAGTATTGTAGTGAGACGCTTCGTGTAACCTCGGTCCACTTCGCGAAGTCCTTTGACTCTGGCGCAAAAAACCCACAGCGATCGGAAGTCGCCCGAGGCGCAACGAGGTTGCACGAAGCGAATCGAAGTACCTCTCTACACTATTCGCCTCGTCCAACTTTGATCTACTTCGCGAGTAGTGTAGAGGAGGCATTGGATTTTAGATACTCGCCGAGCACAAACGAGCGAGTACTGAGTAGGCACGAGTACGAGTACGAGTATGTAAAGGCCTTGTTCGTGTGTTCTCGTTACTCGGCCCGAGTATTCGTTCTCCACTCGATGTCGGTTTTTTGGCCAAAGAAATGCTCGTGTGTATTCGTAGCGGTATACCTATACATACTCGTCATTATATGCTTGATCTGTGAACTTTTAAACTTAATTTTTCTTAACTTTATCGGAGGAGGTTATTATTTTTCTAACAAAATAATATTAAAAATAATAAGGATAATACCTATATACTGCGATGGATTGGAGTTTTAGAATAACAAATCCACTAATTTTATAGAACTTTATCATGGAGAACTCGTGATATGGAATTCTATAAATCGGTTGGAAATAAATATTAATAAAAATAAATATTTGTGAGTCTATAAATATTAAGTGCGACATAAAGTCGTCATCGACATAAAAACGAGACACGTCGTCTATGTTTAAAAGATCTACGTTGAATGAATATTAAAGATGTAACCGATATATTCGTATTCGTTAAGATATTGGTAATATTGGGTGGATTCATAGATCAGTAATCCAACGGATTCTGATATGCTAATATTCCATATTCACTTCATTTATACACTAACTGTTCAACATCGGTTGGATAATATCACTCGGCTCGACCCGACTGCTGATATTCGTGACGGATATCTGTATCATTCGTATCGTAAGCATAGCGGTGCAAGCGAGCTAGCCGAATGATCAAATGAATCAACCGATATGAGCGTTTGACGGGTATTCATTCTCTATTTTATAGATGTTTAAAATTTATTGACTCTAGTAGTTTTTTTAATAGTGTATATTTAAATTTATTAATTGTGATAAATTATGCTTGGTAAAATAAACTTATAACCTACATGAATAGAATATTGATACGTATAATCGTTATATTAAGATATCAGTAATATTCATATATTAGTTTAAATATTATAATATCACTTGACGAATATATTCATATTAACTAATACTGACAAATATCGGTATTAACCCATCTTTAATGAATATAGATGCGCTAGCACTTCTTATTAGTTTATGGAATACAGAGTCAGTGTAAATGGGTCGTACTCGTCCAGGAATAACTCTTAAGTTATTCGTGGACGAGTACGACCCGTTTACTCAGAGAGTTATTCGTCCGACAATCTAAACGTGCCATAGTGCTAATAATGCTAACCACAGAGTACATTATATGCTAACTGCTTTAAATAGTAGTTATGGGTAGTGATTTTACAATATTAACCTAAAAAGTTATCAACAACTATCAGTGCTGCCAACCCCTCTAAATAAAAACAAGCTGTTAACTTCTTACTTTCTACATCGCTAATTCGCGTTACAATCAATAAATGGTAACTAACATAATATTATAAGCACTTCATTTATGAAAATATAACATGAAAAATAGTTTAAGATTAAATCTGACAGTAATATCACCAGGTTTAAACCAGTGAGTAAAAGCTTTATCTTATAAAATCCCGCTCATCCTTTAAATGTTGTTGGTAGTTGGCACGCTCTCAAATCTCAACTTATAGACTTCAATAATCCACTGACAAATTTTTTCATAAGAAGAAAATTATTAAAGTATTAATCTATATATTTATTATAATTATAAAAGTATACCTAAAGGGCCGTGAAATAAAGTTAGTCTAGTTAGCTGCAAATGACAAATTAACCAACGGAAAATTCCCTGCTCATAACGACCACAAACTAATAACAAGTGCTAGCGCACATAACGACATACGATACGCCACTATACGCATTTCAGTGCTGTTACCTAGAAGTTAATATTAACAATCGCGCCTAAAAACAAACCGTGTGTGGTGGCGCTGTCGTCGCGCTACAAGCGAAACACATCGAAGCCTAAATCACGCTAACTAAGTTCCGAAGTTAAAGCAGTATATATAGAATAGCTCCGAACTACCACTGAGCGCCCCCCCCTCCACAGATGAGGGAATTAGATTAGTAAATATAAACACTAACACACACACAGACACTACTCTAGTACAGAACACTAGTGCACACCGCAATCGCCGGCGAATGCGACGTCTCAGACACACTCCGTACACGAGGTTTAACACCCGTGATACGGGGCGTTTCTAACTTTTGCGACTCGTTAATAAAATTGCGATAGCGATTCAAGCCGAGGTTCGTACCTCCATCTGAGGGGCCCTTGAATCGCATCGAGCCCCCCCCTAGCTCGAGGAGCCTCACTCCGAAAGCAGGGGTCGGGGTGCCTCGGGACTGCTGTCGGCGAAGCGGCGCTTCGTAAGTACTCACTTACGAACCTAATTAGACGAAGCTGTCAAGGCCGCAGGGCCAACAGCATACTCATTCAGAAAAAAAAGAAAAAAAACCACTGAGCGCCCGGCGAGAGATCTCCCCTTTTCCTTCTACCCGCCACACGTGTCATCAAAGACGAGACGAATTTAGACTGGGTCAAGGCCACGTAATTCGAAAATATTGGTTATTTAAATTAAATTAAAAATTAAAAACACGCACACTTATTTTCTCATTTCTAATATCACATTTATGCGAAGGTAATAGTCATAAGTCAAAAATGCAAAAGCAATATATTATGCATAGGAGGGTGTAAGAGACAAAACGTGTCACCCGCTCACTTGACGTTCGATGGCCGGTGGTAATTCAACAGCCGAAACCGTTGTCGATGCTTCGCGAAATAAGCCGAATAAACGATTTCTACATTTCATTCTGGTCGCTAGATCGTAAAATCATGTTATCAAGGAAAACTGTAATAAATAGTTTTGGACTGCAATAACAAGCTACCTGCTAACCCGCTATTGTATGAACAGAGTTTCAATGACTGTTTACGTTTTGTAACGACCACTCCTACTCAAAACATTAATTTCATAGATAAATGAATATGTAGAGAGCTAATTAACCACTAATTAACTTTAAAGTATGCATAGGATGTTAGGTTTAGTTAATTTTTTACTTGTAATGTTTATTATTAACAGTTTGATTTTATCGTTGCTTTTTGTGAACAAGATGCAATTAGTTCAGTGTTTTAAAAGCACGGTTTCAAACCCTAACATTGTAATTATTATCGTTGATGATTTACGCCATCTACATAAAAAAAATGTGAACTTACCTAATATTCGGAAAATGGCGGTAAAAGGAATAAGTTTTAAAAATTCAATCGCTCAGGTACAACATAGTTTTGTAATTTTCATATCCTGATTTCATGCATATTATTTAATAATGATTTTGTTCATTACAGCAAGCTTTGTGCGCTCCAAATAGAAATTCAATGTTAACGGGGCGTCGTCCTGATTCAATACGACTTTATGATTTTTATAATTATTGGAGGGATGATGTAGGAAATTTTACAACATTGCCGCAATTGTTCAAAGAAAATGGCTACAATACGATCTCAGTGGGCAAAATCTTTCATCCTGGTGCGAGTTCGAATTACACCGATGATTATCCATACAGCTGGTCACTTTTGCCTTATCACCCTCCTTCTGAAATATTTAAAGATTCCGCCGTATGTCAGGACAATATAACTAAACAATTACACAGAAATCTTATATGCCCTGTGAAGGTAAACGAACAACCTGATAAATCTTTGCCGGACCTGCAAACTCTTGCCTATGCCATTAAAATGTTGAAAGCAAATAAAAATAAACCATTTTTACTTGCTGTCGGGTTTCATAAACCACACATACCATTAAAATTTCCAAATCATTATTTAGGTAAGTTTTATTTTAAATTTTTCCTTTATATAGCTTTATTTTATTTTGCCAGCAAAAACTATGTGACACCAAAATCAGGCATTTACAATTTATTATTTCTTTCCAGACAGAATTCCTTTAGAAAATGTAAAACCACCTAATTACCCTTATAAACCTAAAAACATGCCACTAGTTGCTTGGCACCCTTGGCGAGACGTGCGTAAAAGAGACGACATAAAGAGACTCAATATATCTTATCCGATGGGAATTATGCCTCCGAAATGGACTCTTAAAATAAGGCAAAACTATTATGCTGCAACTGCGTACATTGATGATTTAATTGGAAGATTAATGCGTTATGTAAATAAAAGTAACACAGTCGTGGTTTTGACAAGCGATCATGGTCTGTATACAGCGCCGCATTTAACTTTTTTGTGCCCTAGGTTTTTAAGAAAATAGTGCCCTAGGTTTTAAAAGAAATAGTGCCCTAGTTTTTCATTTTATATTTGACTATCCGTTTGCATAGTTTTAAATGTAAATACGTGCAATATGAAATTAGAGTAAAAAGCATTGCGAATATTGAGATAGTGCGTTCTCAACAAATTTACGAATAACGAAAAATAATACATTTAAAAAAGAATCATATTATTTTTTCTATTTTGATTTATATTTCACAGTAAATATAATCTAAATTATTAGTGCATTTGTAATAGCGAGAGATCCATTTCTATTTTGAATGACGAGTTATATTATGCATTGTTTCCATAATAAAACATCATAATATTATAATTTTAATCAAAAATGTTGTGGAGCCCATAGTTTATCATAGAAGACTGCGTTATAGTGATAAAATAGTATATTTACATTTTATTTGCAAAAAAAAAAATATTAGTTATTATCGTTCCACTTAGCAAGTGTCGTCTCACACCTTTGTGAATATTGTAGTCTATATTTAACTACATAATACATAGTGGGTCCATAAGTAGGTACATTGCGACTTATAGGCCTTTCCAAGAATGTGCCAGCTGACAAGCATTACTTGGATGATTTTATCATATCCCAAGCCTGTTGGTTGGGCGCAAGTCTTTGATATTTTAGTCGTGTTTTTGGTTGGATTTTCTGCGACAAAAGTTGATCGTCAGAGGTTTGTCAGTTGTTTGTGTTAGGGTGAAACGTTTATAGGTAAGGTTGGCATTTTTAGAAACACAAAGTAGCATATGTTACTAACACCCCAATCTGTATTATCATATGAATTACTCAGTGACGAGCGGCAGCGTCTCACAGACAGGGAGTCGATGAATGCAAGTGGCTCAGCACCATGCTAAGCGGCGTCTATGAGAATCAATGATGTGCAATGCATTTTTAATGTGATGTTTTAGGTTCGTTACGTTTTAGGTTTAATTTTTTTTTTTACAGTTTATATAAAACGATCATCTTCTCTTTTTCAAATTCACCTGTATCGTGAATGTCTTTTATCTACATAAATTGTGGATCTGTCATATTGCGGCAACTCGCCTTATCTTTTCATACTGTAGTCTGCGTGATCACATCGGATAAATTAGTTCCAGCGTTTCACCTAACTGTAAGGAATAGAACCTGCCGCTACTGAGCTAATCATTATCTGACAACTATCACATACACCTTTTTTGACATTTCTGTCAGTCGACTTTTACTGCGCCTAAGATAATTTTAAACTTATTGATAAAAATTTTTAACAACTTTTAAAATTCGGTCCCGCTTGCATAAAATAACAAAAGTAAATTAACAGCCTGCTTACGTTCCACCGCTGGGCACAAGCCTTCTATAATTTCTGAGATGGTATTAGGGAAAGGAAGAGTCTCCCGCTCCGCCTCAATGCCTGATGACGAACTTTGCAAAATATCGTGAAATATGTTTTGGTATTTTATTTATTAGACATGTATGTTTCCTCACAATATTTTACTTCACCTGCCACACCTGCTAGCATATTATATATTTTATCCACCGCAATGTGTTTACAGGTTGGTCGTTAGGTGAAAACGGCTTATGGGCGAAATACAGCAACTTCGATGTCGCTGTAAACGTACCACTCATATTTATTGTACCAGGAGTGTCACCGAAAATCATTTCTACACCAGTCGAATTGATCGACATATTTCCAACATTGACCGAGATCGCTGGCATAACCGGAATACCAAAGTGTCGGAATACGGAAGACAAAACGAAAACTTGTTTCGATGGAAAAAGTTTAGTTCCGTTAATGAAGGGGGAAAAACATGAAACGTTTGCCATAAGTCAATATCCCAGACCTTCCATCCATCCGCGCAGTAATTCTGACAAGCCACGTTTAAAGGATATAAAAATAATGGGATATAGTATAAGAACAAAACGTTACCGCTACACGGAATGGATATCATTCAACAACACATTGTTTACAAGAAACTGGAACAAGCTTTATGGCGTTGAATTGTACGACCACCTCATTAATCCCGATGAATCCATTAATTTGTTTTTGGAACCTACATACCAACACGTGAAAAAGAAATTATCGAAATTGCTAAAAGAACAGATTGAGCTCATTTAAGAGCTAAGATCATTTATACTTACATGTGTATTTAAATAAAGTAAAAACGTATCATCATCATCATCATTACAGCCCTACATAAGCCTACTGGTAAACATAGGGTACAAAACACGGTCCGATCCAGAGCCACCTATATCCACCGACTTCCAGCATTTTACCAGGTCGCTTCAATGTACTCGTTGCAATGTACTCGCTAGGTGGCGCTAATGTCGAGATCCAGAAATCACTCGTGCTAAGCCAGGGATGATCGCTAGTGTCTAATAAAACGAATAAATTTATAATAAAACTGTGGGATTAAATTTAAAGAACATAGAAAAAATGTAAAAAATTGGCCGAATTTTTTAACTTATTAAGGGGCTACTCCATGCGAACGACCTTGAGCATTTGACCGCTTGCTACAATATTAATATATTGTAGCGAGCGGCTCGCCGGAAGAAATATGTAAGACGCCACCTATTGTACGAAAGTAGTATTATTTTTTCAACATCAATAAACTATTTTATGGAAATACACATAGCGTACAAAGATAAATGTATTTTAATTTTTTTATTCTGTATATATTAGTTGCATTATATTAGAATTATGTATTTTCATATATTATCTAATTATGAAATTTTATAATTAATTATATATTAAAACTGAAGCATTGAAAATTGTGAGTTTAAAAGATACCTATTCACTATAGGTAAATAAATAGATAGCTCGGCTTTTGTACAAATATTTGGTGCAATAAAAAATAAATAAATAAATAGGATGTTTCGCATATGTGTTTTTGATTATTGTTAATTTTTACGTGTCACGTATTGAAAAGTTACCTACTAATTTTTGAACTTATGCTGGCAGATATCATCCTCACCCCAATGATTGATGAGGATGAAAATCAATTTTATTTCTACATACGTAATTATATTTATTTATACATAAGGGTAACTTTAATAAAGGTAATACAAAAATCAACAAGAAGTATAAGGGTTCAATCTTTCAATTTCAGTTGTAAAAAAACGTTACCCCCACACTAGGATTTTCTCCTGTGTCGTGGAGGCAGTTTACAAACATAAATTGCACAAAGACAAACATCCAGACCCGGAACAATTATTTGTAGGCCATACAAATACTTGTTCCATGCGGGATTCGAACCCGCGGCCCCCAGCGCAACAACTGATTGCTAAGCCACTGCGCCACCATGAAGCTAATACAAAGACTAACTTTGTGTTTGCTTCATGGTCGCCGGGTTATAGCTAAAGTGACCATACGTCCCGTTTTGAACGGGACTGTCCCTTTTCTCGGTCTCCTGTCCCATTGTCCCCAAACAAAGCTCCGGGACACAAAATTGTCATGTAACTAGTTGGATGGAAGTATTCAAAGTCAACAATCTTCAACATAATTTTTTTTAATCGAATATATTTTATGTCTACCTGGTACGAATGCTCCGGTAGAAAGAGTATTTTTTTATTTTGCATAAATTGTGGACGTCTGAAAGAAACACTTACGGTTCCAGAGTTCTAAAGGCGATGTTGTTAACAAAGATAACAATAAAAAACTTGAGCAGAATTTTATTCTTATTTAAAATCATCACCAACTTTATTAAAGCAAATTTAATCCACTGACAAATGTAATTAATAATTAAAAAAAATATGTTGCATTTAATAATTACCGTCTATACCGAATATAATTTTATAGTGAACACTAATTGTATAAAGTTATAGTTTTTAGAGTATAAATAAACCCATGTCCTGTTATGAGTTAAAAAATAAATGGTCAGTTTAGTCTTTTTAGTTAAATTTAGTTTTAAAATTTTTTAGTTTATAGTAAAAAGTAGGTATATTAGTACTTTTTACCGAATTATAAGTATAGAACACCTTATGTACTCAATTATTTTTGAAAAAGAAGAAAAAACAAGCAATAAATAATATACTATATTTTAGCAAAAAACTATAATTTAGTAATACTAATTATAACTTAGAACATAAATGAAAAACTCATAACTGACTTTTTGGCCCGACCCAGGATTCGAACCCGGGACCTCATGATCAGCAGTCGCACTACTACAACCACTAGACCAACCAGGCAGTACTATACCTGATAAGATATTGTGGTTGGGTGATAATATTGAATTAGCCTTTTATAGTGTAAATTATAATATTTATCGAAATTTTAATTATAGATTCGAACCTTACATGCTAATGGTGCTTCATTTTTTTATTTGCATTTACTTCAAAGAAAATACACGCAAAAAGCTTCATCGCGCAGTAAAACACACAACAAATATATGTATAACTAATACGAAAAATTATACCCAAAACAAACAAATAATACTACCTATAAATAACCTAATAAGTAATATTATTTATCGACTGATATTACGTGAGTGTATGCGGCGCTGGTCGACGCTCTAACGACACGGGCTTCGCGTCGAAGAGCTCAGGGCTCACTGACTCGAGCAAGCCCGTGAGCAGTGAATATGCCCAGATTTTAAAATAATTTCTTAATAAAATCAAATTTTGGTCTTTTGAAAAAAAATTTACTATAGAAATGTTTATTAATAAATTGCCTATCCATTGGTGTAAATCGCAAAATAAAATAATACTTACTTTACGAGGAGATCCATGTTATCAATAATAATTTCACATTTATGTGGTTTCGTTGTAAGGAGATTATATTAATATTTATTCGTTTAAAAAAAAATTGGATATAGCTTTTATGGAATCAAGATTATGTAGAAATATAATGTGTTTTTTATTTGTTGATATATCTTATAAATAAAAAGTAGATAGCTTCTAAAAACCGCCCAAATAACGACTAGCGCGACATTTTGCTCAACCTGCGCCTTAATATAATCAAAAATCGAGAATATAGTTCATTATTTCACTATTAAACTATATGTCTGATAGTGTTTTTATAAACTGGATTTGTGTATACTATTTTTTTCCAACCAAACGTGTAAATATTAATGATTGGAATTTCTAATTCTGCGATCATTTTTTAGTAAACTAGCTGTGGGAGATAGATCACCACAAAAAGAACAAGTTGGTTTTTATAAATGTGATACCTGAAGTCAAAAGATCAAAGATTGGTCTATTTTTACATGTATTTAACAATTTCAGAGTACTACCAAAGATAGTAAATTAGGCGACTTAAATCTTAGAAAGCGTGAAAACGTGATATACGAAGAAGCTTAGCGATTTTGGACGACGTAATTGTATACAGGCTGTGTGAAGGATCATCCTAATGAGGGCTAATTATTTTTTACTCACCAGATGTCGCTAGTTGACACTGAGGTAAAGTTCTTTTGTAACACAATGTCAATTAATTGAGAAGTTAGTTTTCAATAAAAGTTTATCAGTTTCTAGAGTATTATATTAATACACAAAACAATGCCTCAGTGGTGTGCTCTTTTTTTTGCACATTATTAACTTTTTTTAATTTTTCTACTTTTATGAATATCTGTGGTTTGCTTTATTTATTTTTAATCTTATCAATATAATATATAACTAAAAGTACAGAAAGAAACATTAATCTTTACATTTTCCGAACAAATTAACTTCCCCGCAATGAAACCTGCCAAATATTATACTTTACTTTTAAGTGGCGTCGCGCTGGTGGCAGAAAAAGTCGTGGATGTAAGAATGTAAATATAATAGTATTTAAAAAAAAAACTCATAATGCTCGATTTTCAAAATGAGTAAGCCGAAGTGTTTTGTTACTCAGTACTTTATGTAATAAATATATATTTAATAAAAAAAATATGTACCATCTTTGGGAGCTTAAAATAATTTATAAAACTCACTTTAAATAAATGTACATTCATCTTAACACTATTTAAATACTAAATTAACAAAATACAAATTTTATTTCTGTTAATGTCAACGTCATACTAAACTTCTTTTCTCTTCTGGCACTGGCTTTCTAGAATTTTCCTCCATTTCAATTTGTTTAAACCTAGCGTATAAAGCGCTACTGCCTAGAACTATTAGATTAGAAGTCCACCAGAGAGCGTTTTTAGATTCATTGTACCACTGTGTAGCGAGAACAGTTTGAGCACAAGCCTTTGCCGTCCCGGAGATATTGTGTGTTAAGGGGGATGTCACCTGAAAAAAAAAAAGAAATATAAGAGTATGTATATAAAAATAAATACAAATAAAATAATTTACAGGTAAAATATTTTTTATATAAAAAAGGTTGGCACAAACGAGCACACAGTCCACCTGATGGTAAGTTGGTAAGTTGGTAAGTGCATGATGTGGTCCATAGACACCACATCTAACTTCGATTTAGAATCATAATTTGTATATTATGCGTTGTCACACCAGTGAAGAGGGTCTCCGGTTCTCTACACTCACTACACGAAATACATCAGCATTATGCAGATATTGTACGCTGGTATTCTGTAAGAGCGTGATCCTTCCCTGTACTATTCGTACTGCAGCTGCAGCCATAATATAACTGCAGCTTGACTTTACCACGGAAATACCATATAAAATAGAATGTACAACAATAGCACAGACTTTAGTGTACTACCTATACCAAAAGCAGTTAGATTAGTAAAAAAGGCGCAGACAGTTAGAAAATCTGATTGTAATTCAGGGACAGGACATAGAATTGTTGTTACACGGGAAAACAGTGAAATTGCAATTAACAATAAAATTGTTAATTGCAATTTTAAATGCTGATTTACAACGTGCTCGGCGGTGAGGGAAAATATAGTGAGGAAACCTGCACGTCTGAGAAATAAGAAAAAAAATTTCAAAGACATGTGAAGTTCCCCAACACGCATTGGGGCAGCGCGGCGGACATTTTCTTGCCCTAAAACCCTCTCAGAAATGAGAGGACGCCTGTGCCCAGCATTGGGACGTATATAGAATGTAACTATACTATACTACTACTATTAATAGTTACACTAAAAACACCTATTTTGCCATCCTCGGGACCACGAATGAAGTATATAATAACCTAATTAATAAAAAAAGAATTATCAAAATCAGGTCCCAATTAGCAATTCTCGTAAAATACATACAAAAAAAAAACAAACTCGAATTATGAACCCCCCCTTTTTTTGAAGTCTGCTAAAAATAATAAATACATATTTTACTAATGTAATGGATAACATCCCACCATAATTAGCTCTGCTGAACATAGGTCTTCCCTATAGATTGCCTCATAGGGGTATATTTGCCATAGTTGCCACACTTAGCAGGCGGGTTGGCAACGGCAGTTTTTATTTTATTTTTTTGAGTTGTTATCAGGAAAATGTCGCTGCCCATCCGTTTTGTTTCTTTTTATATAGAAGAAGAGGCACACGAGCATGCGGCTCACCTGATGCTATTTAAGTGTCGACCGCCGCTCATAAACAACTACAACATCAGGGGCATTGCAGGTGCGTTAACGGCCCTTTAAACTGTTCCGTTTTTCTTTGTCACCGTTTGGATGAAATGGGGTGGTGAATTGTCTTACGCCACCGCTACACGGCCAAATATTTGTATGGCGCAATGGAAGAGAAAAGAAAAGTAATTGTACTACTGTTCTGCATCCCGTTTGTAAAATCCAAATTTTGCTAACGTGATAGTAGTTTTAATTTTGAAGAAAATAGGAGATTACGTACAGTCCGCCGGACTTAGATGTTCAGTACGTCACTCGTGGAGGTTTGACCGTGCACCCACAATTTAATTTGTTTATGTGTGAGAATACTGAACCCACGGATCTTCAGTGCTTAGTCACTGCGCCACGGAGCTATCATATACGAGGGCTGCACTAAAAGTATCGGGAATAGAATATTTCCACTGTTCCTGTCATATTAAAATCTTTTTAATTGAAAAGTCCTTGGTTTTAAAAATCGAATACCATTTATTTATTTAAAAAAAGATTCTCGGTCTTGTCACAAGGTTTTATCAAACTTGTTTAGTCGTTGAGAAAATGGAATTGACTCGAGAAAATTTAAGCGCGATGATTTATTATGACTTTCGAAGTGGTTTAACACAAAAACAGTGTGTTGACCGGATAATTTCTGCATTTGGTGATGAAGCCCTGTGCTTAAGCTGATTGAGGAAGATCGACGTGTGACATACCGCGAAATTCAGGCAACTTTAGACATTGGCATGAGTCAAATACATATAATCTTGCATGAACAATTAGGTGTAAAAAAGTTGTTTTCCCGATGGATACCGCATTCGCTCTGTGAAGAGCAAAAAGCGGCTCGCGTTACTTGGTGTGTCAGAACTCTGGAAAGATTCCACACAGGATCCTCAAATGCTGTATACAACATCGTATCAGGTGACGTATCCTGTATATACGCGTACGAATCCGAAACAAAAAACCAGTCACGAGTTTGGGTGTTCGAAAATGAGTTAAAGCCAACAAAAATTGTTCGTTCACGGAGTGTTGCAAAAAAATGGTGGCCACGGCTGTCTCCAAAACCAGCCATGTTACGATTATTCCTCTTGAGGGACAAAGAACGGTTAATGCAGAATGGTATGCTAGCATTTGTTTACCACAGGTCGTTTCTGAACTCCGTAAAAAGAACTGCAACCGCCGCATCATCCTCCATCACGACAATGCGAGTTCTCACACCGCACACAGAACAAAAGAGTTTTTAGAGCAAGAAAACATAGAATTATTAGACCATCCGCCGTACAGCCCCGACCTAAGCCCTAATGATTTCTTTCCCTAAAATAAAGAATAAATTGCGTGGACAGAGATTTTCATCACATGAAAAAGCTGTGGACGCCTACAAAACGGCCATTTTGGAGACCCCAACTTCCGAATGGAATGGTTGCTTCAATGATTGGTTCCATCGTATGGAAAAATGTGTCAAATTTCGCGGAGAATACTTCGAAAAGCAATAAATACATTTTTAAATAGTAATGTTGTGTCACTTCTTTGATTCCTGAAATTTTCAGTGCCGCCCTCGTATTTCAAGAAATGAAGAGAGAAAGCTTGTGTGCCATAATATAGAGATACTTTTATGGCTTACTATTTATATTTTTTTAACTCAGAATAGTGACAAGATACAGCAGAATATTTCAATTATGTTAATAATCTCCTCCAGACCGAAATTAGCTTACGACGACCAGCCTAAACGGAGACTAGCCATGTGCGCAGGACAGGATTACAGTGCTTAAGTGTATGCGCAAGTACAGGTGCACTATCTATTTCCGCACTCTCATAATCTATAGGGACGGTAAACCGACACGACCGGAGAGAGATCAGGTGCAGGACCAACGGCTTAACGTGCTGTCCGAGGCACGGGGGTGAGACACCGCCAACTTCCAGACTCTGGACAGCTACTGAGAATTTCTTAACGGAACAACTCACCTGGTATATAAACATAATGTTATTTTTTTATATTTTGCATTACCTCTTAGAGTCAATGTAACAAATTAATGCGAATAAATAGTAAAAAAATCACATATCTTAGGTATTAAATTTGCAAACAAATAATTAAAACAATAACAAAATAGAACCGTACCTTTATTTGCAATGATGTGACGTATCCTATTGCGAATCCGCACACACCACCCATAACCATTTGCATCCAGAAATATATACTGTCGAAATTGTTATAATTCCACAACACCCCGATCTCTCCATTCATGACGATTAGAGGCAGGAACAAAATAATTGAATAGGCATTATTGTAGTAGGACAGCAACCACACCTCTTGATTGACACTTGGCAACACCTTCTTAGTGAAAATTGAGTATAGTGATAGCATCAGAGACCCAATAACCCCATATATCGTGCCGACTAGTGAAAAGGAACCTATAAAAAATGAACAGTGCAGTGATCTCGTAGAGTAAAATAATGAAGAACCACTTCATGATGTAGTCGTAAAGTTGCTAATTAAAACAGTAACAGTGACTCCTGTACTTTTTTAAATTTAATCACGTATTCAGATTAAAAATAAAACTTATCTTTAAGATAATCAAAAATAAATACAGAGCCGACTTAGCCAAAATTAATCGTTTTCGGCTGCCGCTGGCTCTGAAATTTATGAGAATGATTCTTATTAGATCGCATTAATATAAAGGAAGAAATATCATTCTACATCTGAACATAGGCCTCCTTCAAGTCAATGTCATAAAGCACGGTCCTGAGCTACCTACATCTATTGACTGCATTATCGATATTGTTTATTATCGACGACATGTTGTATTTACAAGCAGTCATTTCATCTAGTAGGGGGATCGAACTTCCTTTCCCATACGTTGTCAGTTAGCCCAGCTATATGGCATGCCCATTGCCAAAAAAGATATGAAAGTAATAAGTGACAAACAACACACTCACACTCTAACAGTTCACCTGATGGTAAGTGGTTACTGCAGCTCATGGACAGCTCAAACCAACTTCATGAAACGAAAGCTACAGATGCGTTTCCACTTTTAGGAATTAAGAGATGGCATGCCTCCACAAATCGTGTGTATTGGCTTTCGAAAACTTTTAGATTGGAAGACAGTTGAGGCATTGCTGATGGGCAGAAAAAAATATTTAAAGAAACGTTATCTTCTATCTACCCAGAAGAAAAGCTAGGCTTGTAGTATATTATTTGGAGTGGTACTACCTAATGTACTGCAAATATTGGAGTTATGACGGGAAAAAGAATATTGTAGTGTATTTAACAAAATACTGATTAAAATTACAATTATAAATATTCTATGTATTTTTTATTGAAGACGGTAATCGGTTTGAGGGTCGAGCGTGAACCATTTTGAGGAAACCTTCATTTGTAATAAATTTAAAAAATATATTTCGAAAACATAATAAAACATAAATAATTAAAAAATCAAAAACAAAAAAAGACGATTTAAAAGTAAATCACTAAAAAGACCGAAACAAGATTGAGAATAGAAAACAAAATTGAAATAAAGTATTAACAAAGTAAACTCTACTTAGGCTTCCCCGACACACTTTTATCAGTTAAATTTTATAATATGATAGCACGAAGTCCGACACAAACATGGCCCATTTTTACGCTATCAATATCTTTTAAAACCAATTTATTATTCCTAATTAAATTTAAATATGTAACCTATATACATATATGTATTAGTAATCCTCTTTTAATTTCCTTTATTTTGATACCCTACTGGATAGGTTTGGTTAATTTTTTTATTAACGTGTTACGATTTCGCACCAAAAATCCGCCAGTTTGTATATTTTTTCAAACAGTTATCTAAGAACACTTGAGTTTTTAAGACTAATATAACGATATCTTAATTGTCGAAATCCATCCAGCCGTTACGAAGATACGAGGTAATAAAGAAATTTACAAACAAACACATACATACATAGAAGGTACGCGCGAAAAACAAAACCCTTCCTTGGCAATCGGGTAAAAATAAGTTCGCATTGACTTGAGGCAGAACGGCGCGCGGCGGCGGGCTTAAACTATTTATTTTGAATAAATACGCTGAATGAATAGTACCTTAAATATTAATTCCGATCCTCAAATATTAACGCCTACCTGTATACCTATTGAAATTGTTTTTAAAATATTCAATAACGCCGCACAAAATAACGTCTTCGCTCAACTCTTAAGTCTGCGGCCTAATGTAATTAATTATCATTGACTCATCACCTCATTACTGAAAGCCGGGTTACTTAACCTATAGTGTGTATGACATTGTGACTGGAGATGCGACATGGATGCATTGAAAATTTCCGGAAACAAACCAACAGTCTCCTGTACGGGCTCTCGAAGGCGACAGCAAACCAACAACACTGAGGCAGGCTAGAAGTGTGGGCAAAAAATGATTGCATTTTTTCTCCCCGACGGGTCCTGTCTGCAAGATTCCTCTTGTTGAGTAAAAAGTTAATGCTATGTAGTACACCACCATTTCTTTGCTCGGTGTCTTAGAAAACCTTAGGGAAAAACAACCAAGAAGCCGCATCCCATTGCACCATGACAATGCTTTGGTGCACACCGCGAACAAGAAAAAGTCATTTTTGGCTTCTGAAAAGATGGAGCTTGTGACCCATCCCGCACGCAGTCCACACCTCGCCACATGCGATTTCTTTAATTTCCCAAAAATCTAAGATTTGATAACAGGTTTGACATTCATGAAGCCAGAGGAGACCGCGGTAACGCTTTCAAGCGTTCACCAATAGTCCTTACGGTTTCAAAAATGGTTTGAACGAATTAAAAAAGTGTTCATAATAATATAATGGAAAATACTTTGAAGAGCAGTAAATATATTAGATTACATATAAATTGTTTTATTCATGAGTTAGGTACGCAAAACTTTTAGTGTTCCCCACGTACACGTACATAAGTATCAATGTAAGGAAACTGGAGATGGGCTTGAATTAAATGTTAGAAGAACCTTTGATTCTGAATGCGTTAAGGTTCTTCTAGTGTATTATATTATATCATGGTGTGAAACAACGAAATCTACGAAGTCATAACAGCATTACTTTGCAGGATTATAGCTTATTTATGGTAGGCGAAAAATATGTATAGAAAAATAAAAATAACCCCATGGATTCTTCACATAAATGAGTTTATATCTTTATATTTATTGCAGTACAAGTATATTCAAAGTGATCTCATGTCTGTTGGTGGGTGAGCTCACGCTTCATATATTCTAACATTACATACTGGTATATATTACAGACTATATTACAGACTGGTAATATAGGCAACATTACCACCAGTCTGTCCAGTCCAGACAAGAGTGTCCGTGGCGAGTATTAGCTAATCTTTTATGGTTGCATTTCTCTAGTTGCTGGCGCTTAAAAAGACTAATTAAAAAGGTAAAGTACTCCATTCAATATCTCATCATATATCTCTCATATATTGCCTCATAAAGGCTTTTTTGGCATAGTTGCCAAACTTGGCAGGCGAATTGGCAACAGCAGTAGTATTTTGAGTTGTCATCGGGAAGATGCTACCTGTTTCCGTTTCTCTCTATCGTCTCTCAATACACCCACGAAATGACATGGGCTAGGGGACATTCTTACACCGCCACTACACGGTAATTCACGTACTCACTTAAATTCAGTATTTAGGATATTTAATTTGAGGTATCTATAGTAACTTATAGGTACAATCAAGTACGTCATGTTTTAAATATTAATTTTTATCTTATCAAAGCGGCCGGAACAAACTTAAGATTATAAAAGCGTTATCCGATATGCGTAATTTAAACACCTATATTTTAACAGTTAGTCCGCGAAATAGCGGCAATAGTTAACCAATCGAAATGTTCTAATATAATTCATGGGACAGGGAAAGGGTTAATAAATAATAAAAAACATAGAACCTGATTGCAGTAAAACGTATCAACCAGATCATGTGTCACTGAGCGTAGACCAAACGAGGACATCGGGTTATATAAGACAATTTAAAAAATGTAGAATTTTGCGTTGTCTTTAATTTTCTTACTACGCAGGGGAAACTCCCTCAAAACCTCAAACAAGTCATATGGAAAAGCTGTCCTTGATCTATGAGAACTCTTTATCTAAGAAAACTATAATTAACAGTGGCACAACCTTTTCAAGCAAGGCAGAGACTCTTAAAAACGATCCTACTGCGGGATGGCCTGTCGAGGCAAAGACTGCGAGAAATATGGGCAAAATGAGGTGATGCCCAGATGACTCTAGAGCGGTTGTCTATAGAAGGAACATCTTTGAGTGTTCTGATGGAAGCCCTAAAGATGCGGTAAGTCGACAATCATATAGAACACGCTTATAGAGTTTTACTACGTATTCGTGTTCAAGCACATAAAAAGACACTCCAACAGTGGCCTGAGAAGACAGAGAGGTTGGTCCGTCGCGCATATGTGTCAGCACCATCTGTTATAGTGGTGACCTGGTGACTATACTTCAGGCTTTTGTTGACGACATTCATGACGTTGAGATTCGTTCAGCAGTACGACTAGGCCACCACCAATCTTTTAAAGAGCGAACTGGCACATGCATTAGAAGTGGAAGCTGTAGCGACGCGATACGAAACAATACAAAGCAAAGAAACAAAGTAAATTGAACTGAAAAACAAGTGAACTGGTAATGGAAGAAAAGAAGCTCCGTTATGCTCAGAAGTACTACGGGTGCAGTGAAAAAGGGCACATAAGGCTTGATTGCTCAAATAAGAAGGGATAAAGGGTTTGAAACTGGGAGACCTAAGACGAGGTGCCGTTAAACTAAATATCGCCATGGCTGCGGTACGAACGAGAGCCCTTATTGTTACCATTACACAAGCACGCAATGGCAACAGTTATATCATCGAGGGTACTTCAAATGGAAAAGTCTGCAGATTTACAATTATCACAAGAGCATCGCGCACCATTTTTAGACCGGAATTCTTGAAACGGACCATGTCGTGGAAGCAGCGATCTTCATACCTACTACAAAATATTGAACCTTCACCAGTCCTTGGTCACCAGTGTGGATCTGCGTAGACTATAATAATGTTTTTCAGAATTTCGGTCAAGCAGTCAGTCTCAACGGCGACTAGCCATCTGCGTAGGACTGGATTATAGTGTCCAATTGTAGGAGCAAGTACAAGTACTCTCTCTAGTCCCTCACCCTCATTGTCCGATGGGAAGGTAATACCGACACGACCGGTAGAACATCTATAAGATCTGTAAAAAGTATTCATTCCTCTACGAGAAGCAAACTTAAAACTAATCAAGAATAAAGTGAGTTATTTTGGAACATTGTCTTTGAAGGGGTACAAATTAATCCAAAAGTTCTTTCAATGATCTGAAGAAACAGTTGTGTATATCGCCATATTGGGCTATCCAACCAGAGATGGAAGGTTT